ATGATCTGACCGTCTCGACTTGACAACAGACAAATGTGATGGCCAGCGAGCAATGTTTTTTTTTTGTCCACGGAGAAACGCATGGATTGGTCGATGTGTTTGCATTTTGTTATTTTTACATAAGCGACCATAAACCAGGGTTGAGGGGATGACGATGAAGTGAGAAGAGAGCAGAGTGGGGACGGGGCTGGAGTTCCATAAGCGCACCCACACACATATTCGGGCACGGGCAGAAAAAAAGAGAACAAGACGCAGAGCAATGGTTGAGAATGGTATTAGGTTTGAGAAGAGGGCCAAAGTATAGGAAGAGGAAAAGAAAGGGTAGGGGACGAGAAAAAGAAGCGAGTGGAGAAGGAATAAGCAACGTGCATTTGCCTTCCAATGCTTACATCAAGATATCGCCTATGCAAAGCATAAAAACGCGACTCCAAATGTCATGCCTCAGAAGATATCACGAACAGTAGAATATACGACAGTGGAAATGGAAAAAGGTCTGTCCAGGTCCATACAGGTTCCTACGTCGTCATGGGGGTTTAAACCCTGATTGAGTAATCGATCCAATCACGTTCATTTATACCTCTTGTCATTTTTTCTTTGTTCTGTCTGCCCGATCTTGGAATCTGGCTGCTTGTCTGAGCCTCTTCCTTCTCTTTGTTTCACTTGTTTTCTTCCGGTCCCTAGCTTGGCTTCCCATAAGGCGACGGTAATATGGACGGCCTCGACTTTTTTTTAGCTCGGATTGTCTGAACACAGGAATATCACAGATTAGAACTACAAGCGTCGTGATTGATGATCCAGAGAGAGAGAGAGAGAGAGAGAGAGATAGAGAGAGAGAGAGATAGAGAGAAGGCGCAACACATCAAACAACAAACAGCTTCGACTCAGTAAAAATCATGTCAAACGCCTGTACCAATGCCAAATACCGAGCAAGAAAAAAAATTAGCGTGGCAGATGGTGGATGGAATGGAGGACATTGGAGAAAGAGAAGAAAAAAAGAAAGAGAGAGAGTGTGTGTGTGTGTGTGTCAGGCGACAAGTTGGTTGGGACTCGATGATCAAAATTGGCGTGGTTTGTATGTTTGTATAGGAGCTTAATTCGACGCGTTAGTTTCAGTGATCACGTCCAAGGAGAGTGATGTAGTTGATGTACATGTAGAGCATGCATCTCATGAGCTCCATCCCAAAGGGTACCTGTCCTTTTAGTTGTATATATACCCATGCATCATGAACATTGCACATCATGTCATTGCACCTATCCCCTTTTCCATGTCCCTCCTTGTGTTGTATGAGATGTGATATGCCGTGTCTCCTCGTCTTTACATTGTTTTTGTGTCGTGCATGTACCTTTGTTATTTTTTTCACTGCCACTTGTGTTTGTTGTATGCATCTTTCATTCACTCTCTTCCTTATTTGCTTCGTTCCCTTTCCTTCTTGTCGTAAAAATAAACCTTCAAGACAAGAAAGCAAAGCAAACTCCACCTTTCTTTATTATTTTTATTTCCGCCTCCCTTTTAACCTTTTGCTCTTTTCTTTTCTGTTCGTTTCCTCTTTTGCCTTTCCCCCCACCGCTGCCTCCGACTCATACCCCTCACTCGACTTCCTCGACCTCTCTTTCTTGCATCACCCATCTCCCATTAAGCTCTTTCCCCTCCCTCCCCTTCTTCTTCCTTGCCTTGACTCCTACCGCCATCACTCCTTCGTCCTCATTCCACTCTACCCCACCTTCCCTCACTCTCTAACTCCACTCTCCTTCCTCTTACCTTCCTTTACCCTCTTTTACCTTACCTTACCTTACCTTACCCTAACTCCTTTCTCTCACTCTCCTCCATATACCTTCCTCATTCATTACATTTTTACCCACTTCTCTCCTTTCTCCTTTATTTTTTACCCAATCCCTTCCCACACACAGCCTCATTCATTCACTCACTCACATTCACACGTTCACATCCAAGAACGCGTCTTCTTTCTCCATTCGATCCACCCTGAATCTCATTTTCTTCCTTTTGCCTCTCTTTTGATCCGCGACTACCACATACAGTAACCAAATACACAATAGGTAAGAACTGCAACTCAACTCCCGCTCTCTTCCTCCTTCCACCTTTTCCCCTTCACTGACTCTCCTTTCCGCCTTGTGTCCTTCCCTTCCCCTTTTCTGTCCGAGCACTGCCTCATTCTGTTCCCCCTTTCCAATACACGCCTTTGCAAGCAGTAATAAGACGCTACTGTAGGCCCTTCTTCCCTTTGTGCTCTCTCTCTTTCCCTCTCCCTCTCTCTCTCCCTGTCTCTCTCTCTTCTGTGTTTGTGTTTCCGCCCCTAAATCTCAATCCATACATCCACACATACATACATCCACATACACAGCCGACAAACAAAGAAGACGCTACCACTTCATTCAATCACCACACATTTTTATTTGTGTATTGACCATTGTCAACAAGGTTCACGTTTCTGTTGTTAAAAATATCGTTTAAGCAAAACGAAATATGGGCTGACCACCATGGAGGGATGATAGTGTTTGGGTGGTATTGCAAAAAGTGTCATGACTGTTTGGGGTCCAAGCTGAACAATATAAGTCTTTTTTTTTTCCTTCCCGTACTCCATAACTACTGTTCGTGCTTGTGTGTGTGTCATGGCTGATGTATTTGTTGTTACTGTTGATTGGGCGGTGCACCATTTTTCGCTTGTGTTTTTTTCCCGATGCCGCATCTCTTCTTTTACTTTCTTGCTTTCGTTCTCTTTCCTTTGCTTTGCTTTGCATCGTTCTTTGTCTTTGTCTCTGTCTTGGCCACAAAGGGGCGATGGATAAAAGACCTATATCGACCGACTAAAAGGGCCATTGATCAATCTTGCACATGGGCGTGCCACATCCTCTCTCTTTCAATTGCCCTTGCCTCCCACCCACGGGTCGCCGACACACACATACACACACACACACACACACACACACACACACACTCCCTACCAATCTTGTCGTTCTTACCACGTCGTTACTGTTTGTTGCTCGTGCTCCCCTTTTGATGACCTGTCTCTGCTTTCGATGTCTCTCTTTCTGAGCATCCACTCTTTTGTTCACCTTTATGTTTGGACGGCGACTATTCACTCACGCCGTGTCCGTGTAGACTTGGGATTGCTCTTCGTGGTTTTAGGCTTCTTTTTTTTCCCTTTCTTCTCTTTATTTTGTGTATCTGTGATTGGTATCTATTTTGTCCACTTTTGTCTTTCCTTTTGACATCCCTTGCTTGCACTCTTTGTGGAGGTCAACGTCCAGGGTCCTCTTGGGTGTGGTTGTGCAAGAGTTTTAAGGAAGCCTTGTGAAGGTTGAGAGTAGGTGGCTTATTCATATCCGCGTTCTTCGAAACGCGACCTCTTCCAAAGTATGTTAATTAAGGATGTGATGTTATTTTTATCTTTTGGTGACAACTACACAGCAGTTAATCTATATCCAGACGGGTTTGAGAAGAAACAGGGTTATGGTGTGCATACGGGACCGATGATGCTGATGATGAAATGTTTTCGTGTGGCTAGGTGGTAGGTGCAGGGGATAAGTGAGGAAGGAAGTACGGGGGACAACAGAGAGAAGGACGAGATGACAGTGACGGTGATCATGATGATGGCCAGTATGTGTATGTGTGTTTGTGTGCACTCCGCCCCACTTGAAGGACCTTTTTTCTTCTTTCCTTCTTCGACCGAGCCATTTGCTACCCGGCAAAAGGAGGGTAAGAGAGCTGGCCCGAAAATCCAAAAGGGACAAGCATTGCATCGATGGCATACGGACAGACATGCAAGCATTCAAAAATACAATACCATTTCATTTCCACTGGACACACGCTATCAACATGATACATAAAAGGGTGGGATCCAAGAGAACAAAAAGGAAGAAGGAGAAGAGGAGAGAAAAGAGAAGAGAAATGCAGCAATGGTGCGCGGAGAAAAGAAAAGAATTAAGTTAAGTTGGAGAGGGTGCTAAGGGGAAAAGGACATAAGGAAAGTAAAGTAAAACATTCAACAGAGGAGTTTTAGCCTTTTGCTTTGCATGTCTTGATTTGATTGAGTGGGCTGTGCACATCTGAGATTCACATTTCACACCATCGTCTCCATGCTAAGTGTGTGTTGTCGACCTCTGTCTCTCCTCTCCTCCCCTCCCTTTTTTTTTTTTTTTTCTTTTTCTAATTTTGAAATGCGATCGTGTACTGTACTTTATCATCATTATCTCTCCTTTGTTCCCACTCACTCAGCACCTGTGTGTCTTGGCCGAATATCATTTCTGCTGTTTTATGTGATATATGACATCGTTTTGTTTCCTTCTCTTTCTTCTTTTTCCTTTTCATTGTTTTCCCTTTCTGCCCTTTTACCCCTTCTTATTCGTACTCCACCACCACCACGTCAATAAACCCTTCTTCACTTCATAACAATTCTTTCTCTCATCAAACACATTGACAACAACTCTGCAACTCACTCACTCCTTACTCTCTCTCTCTCTCTCTCTACTCTTTTTCCCACTCTCACTCTCTCTCTATCTCTCTCACACTTGTCATCGCCACACAGCCCACCACCTCTTTGTTCCCCAACCTCAGTTTCTCTCTCTACAAAGCCCCTTCTTCTCCTTAAAACTCCCCCTCTGACAAGCCTTCTCTCTCCTTGGCGCACTCCTCCTTGACTCCGTCCTGACCCCGCTAATATAATCGCAACAGCAACAACAACAACAACTCCTGCACTTCACACTCCACACACAACAAACACCCTCCTCGTTGCGCCCCATACCTTGTAAGGCACCCCTCTTCCTGCTTCCCTTTCCCTTCTCCCTCTTCCCTTCTCTCTGCATGACGCCCAGTCTTTCCTTTACCGAACAGCAACCATCCTCCACAATTAAACTACAAGTAGCCAGTCCAACAGCAACAACAGCCTCTCCTAACCAATACCTTTCTTTCCTTCTCTCTTTCATCCATTGATTCCACTTTTCCCCTTTCTTCCAATCCCTCCAATCTTCCCTCTTAATAGACGATGAGGGAACCCAATTTTTCATTTCCAGGACAGAACAGAGCCGCCATCTGTATCACAAGCTCCATATACGACAGACGTGCACTAGACTGTACAGACTATATTCCCATAATTAACACTCTGACCAACCTCGCCTACCTCACCGGCTCAACCCCCACCATCCGAGAATACATCACACGCGACGGAGGACTCGAGCGCCTCGTTACCATTCTCAAGAATACCAAAGTCAACGATCGCAAGAACGGTCTCAAATGGACTCTCGCCTTCCAATGTGTCGTCAACATCGGAGTAAGGGGGACTGAACACATTCGCAAGCGGGTCGTCCAGGCAGGAATGGTCCCCGTGATCGTCAACGTCCTCGAGAGCTTCTTTGCCGTCCTCAAGTCAGTCAGCGACGAAAACGAGCGGCGGCGGCTTTTGCGCAGAGCAGAGGCAGCACAACAACAATCACAGCCCCTTATCACCGATGGCGATACCAATGCTCCCATGCTGACTCAGACCCACTCGACGTCAACACAACCCTTTGGCGGCCCCATGACTGAAGAAGCGGGGCTCCTCCGGCAAGATTCCGGCCACGACAACTCCAACGACTCGGCCTCGTCCGCACACTCCTCCGCCTCCCTCACTGCGCCTTCCTTGGCATCCACATCCACATCAGTTACCACAGGATCCATCGCCCCCTCCACAGCCAATCTTCCTACACCCCCTTCGGCGCAGCACCCAGTTCATTATCCACACAGTGTTCCAGAAGCCGGACAGGCCGCCCAAGATGCATCCCATCCCGATGATGCGCGGTCAATAGCACAGGACGGAGCCACAGGCGAGGCACGACCACAACAGTTCTTTTACCGCGAGGACGACATTCTGCATTCACTCCAGCTTCTTGCCTACCTCTCAAAGTACCCTTCACTGCGTTCATCGTTCCACACCGAGTCCGGCTCCAATGTCTTTGCGATCGTGGAAAAATTCACCCACAGGACAATGCACCCCCTGGAGATCCAGTACTGGGCAGGAGTCATCATGCGAAATGCTTGCCGCAAGGACGACACAAGGAAGGGCATTCGTCAATGTGCCTACACTGGTTGCGGCAAGTGGGAGACCAAGCCCCGGGAGTTTGCAAAGTGTCGCCGTTGCCGCAAGGCCAAGTATTGCAGCAAGCAGTGCCAGAGCAAGGCTTGGAACGAAGGACATCGCTGGTGGTGTATTGAGAAGAAGGCAGAGACAATGGGCGTTTCGACTTCGTTTGGTACGGATTTGCCTCCAGCCCCACCACCCCCACCCCCTCCTGCAGACCTCCAGGATCAACCCGACGGCAATCCCAACCTCTTGGAGAACAATGGCCTGGCTTCGCTCGCCGCTGCAGGAGCCAATGGCGCACGGATGATTGGCGGAGGCGATGGTGGAAGCAACCACGGTCACCACGTCAGCCAGATGCAACAATCCCACCACCACCAACAGGCTCCTGCTCACCTGTTGAACCCTGCAGCATCTTCTTCGACCACTCCATCGCCCTACAGCCACTTGATGGCGCCTTCGACAAGCCGTCCTGGCACTTCGTCCCAACACCAACAGCAGGTGCCAACGCCACAGCCACAGCAGCCACAGCAGGGACCATTACAGCAACATGTGCCTCAGCCACAACCTCAGCCCCAGCAGCCACAGCAACAGGCGCGGCACCCAACTATGCACCCTCAGCCGCAGCAGCCCTTGCCTCAGCGTCATTCCCAGCCGTACCACCAGCACCAGCAGCCACCACAACATCATCAACTGCAGCATCACCACCAGAACCAGCAGTCAGAGCGGAGTCATCAGCAGGTTTCTCCTCGTCGTCTCCAAGGATCTCCGGAACCCTTGCAGTCTATGGAGAGACAACCTCAACAGGCCGCTCCTCTGGACCGCCGCCCGTTCAATCCACAGCAGATGATGCCCGGTCAAGTTGGTCCCAGTCCCATCGCTCACCATCACCTCCATCGTACACCCCAGCGATCCATGAGCACGCCCCATCCATCGACGGCACCTATCATGCCCACACTTCGTTCAGAGCTCGCTCCTCACCTTGGTATCTCCCCAGACTCTCCCACCCCTGAGCAGCTCGCCCAACGTTTCGTCCAGCAGGTGGCACTTCACCCTGGCCAGCATAACGAGCTTGCCCAGCATTTGCATGCCCAGTTCCAGCAATATTTCCCTCCCCACAACCAAGCTGAGGCTAAGCGCCAATTTTCGTTCCACGCCAGAGAACACTTTGCCCGGTACCAACGACAGCAAGAGCTGCTTCGTAGTGGCGCTCAAGGACCGTCGTCTGGCTCCCACAACGTCGCTGGTCGACCTGCCCCAGGCCGCGCTCCTGTGATGCCCTTGGCCATGCCTCCTCATAGCCAACAACCTCTCTACGGCCCTGTGCCCCAGTCGACTGGTGCGTCCCGGTCTGGACGAGGATCAGAGACTCACAGACATGGAACCTCAAGACGCCGATCTGACCTTGACTCGGACGATGACGATTCCTCTATGCTTGAGTCGGGTTCACACTCGACTTCGAGCTTGTCGGTCCCCATGTTGACGCAGGACTTGTCCACGTTATCGACGACAATGTCGCTTTCGTCTACCGAGATCTCGGGCCCTCTTCCCGTCTCACCTGTCGAGAGCCGTTTCTCTGCCGGATCGTCATTGGGATCTTCGTCGTCGATCACTGTGGATGGCAGTCGATCGGACTTTGCCAAGTCCGAATCGTCGTCGAGTCTGAGAGACTTCAAGGTTCGAAAGCTCATGTCCCCCGAGCAGTCGGCTTCGTCCTCTTCGTCCTCGTCTAGCCATGGTCACCATGGATCGTCCTCGGATCTCCCTAGCCAGCAGGCCCTGCAGCGCCGTGATGAGTGGTCTTACTCTCGCCATATGGCTAAGGATGCACCCACTGCTCCTTAGGTCTCTATCTCCCTTTTGTATAATAGGACTTTTTTCTTTGTTTTTCGTTTAGCTTTGTTTTTTTTGTCGCTTTTCTTTTACTTTTACGTACCACTCCAGCCCACTGAATGATCCACCACCAGCAAACTCCCCCTATCCCATCTTCTCACTCTCCTTCTCCTCCGTCATGTAGTATCTTCTTTTTCAAATAGCATAATCACCTCTTCAACCCAAAGCTTTTTTCCTTTTTTTCAGCTGTTTTTTCTTTTTTTTTTCTTTGCGTTTTTCTTTTTTTGTTTGCTCACTCCCTTCTTCTGTGTTGTACCATTAAAAAAAGAGACAATCCGACTGGAAACCCCACCTTGCCAACAAACACCCTAATCATCTTTTATGACCCCCTACACCTGTCTCCCAATTCTGTTTTATATCCAAAGATGAATAAAGCTTGCATGATCTTTCCTTTTTTTTTGGTTCCACAAGGACGGTTGAGGGGGGGGGGTTATTTACAATCAAGATATTCGGTGGTGTCTTTCTTTATTTTTTGTCATCCGGAGGTCTAAAAAAAAACATATGTCGAGAAAGGGGGCGGGGGAAGCCAGAAAAGTCCTTGTTTTTTTTTGTTGGTTTTTGAAGGAGGGGGTTTTATGAATCCGTCCATGGTCGATGGGTCGAGTTGGGGAGTGCTCAGAGATGGTTTGGTTGGGGACAACATGTTGGGTCGGTCTATCTCTCATTTCTCTCTTACTCCATATCCATGTCGAAAAGCTGTCCGTCCTTGATCTCCTTGGAAGCGGTCGCGTGGGCTAAGTTCATCATATATGGTTCATGATAATAAGAGATGGGGTTAATTCATGGATCATTGATCATTTGTCCCCTACACCAAAATCCACAAATGCCACACACACACACACACACACACATCGAGCTCTAAATGTCACCAAGAAACGCCTTTCTTCGACTTACCCTTGGCATCCTCCTCTTCCTGGGCATTGGCGACAGCCTTACGCTTCTCATCATCGGAATCTTCATCAGAATCGTCCGAGCCAGAGTCGTGGGTCTCGACGTTGAGGTGGGAGCGGTTGTGCATGGATCCGGCCTGGTGGGGCAAGCTGGCGCCTGTGACTCCGGCAACAAAGGCGAGCTTGGCGGGAGGGGTGCGCGACAAGGGCGAGTTGCGGAGACTCAACAACGTGTTGCGGTCGTAAATGATTCGAGTGCCTAATTGTTTATTGTTTTGAAGATTGTGTAAGAGAGTTAGTTATCGAGTGGACATTTAAAAGGGATGATATTGAGGGGGTTGTCCTGTATGATATGTATCGTCCATTACTATGACCCCCCCTTTGAAGAATCGCCTCCCTTTTTGTTTTCTTCTTTCGCACTTTTCTTCCCCATGAAGCTGAAAAAAATGTAGAAAGGGGGTAGGCAATGTAGAAACGAGGGTGAAAAGGAGTAGCCTCACCACTTCCTCTCCTGTGATGCCTTTCTGCCCGCCTAGGTAACTACAGAAGACCAAGGAATGTCTCTCCTTTTCCTCCACCACCACCATCATCATCACTGCAGTTCCCCCTTCACCTTATTTCGTCATTTCCGATTCTCTTTTCCCTAAAGCCCCAATCCCCTTTGTCGTCATCCTCGATATCCCTCAACAAAAAAAATAAAAATAAAAATAAAAAACGTTCCAATTCTAATCCCGTGGTCCTCGTAGTATCCATGCTTGCATAGAGAAAGAGAAAGGAGCGCATCTCGTCTTTCGATCTTTGTTCTCTCCAAAGTGATGAAGATATAGGGCGTAGGTAGCCACCAAAATAATAAGCGTAGAAAGTGAATAAATTCCAGTCATCCTTCCTGGGTACTCCTGATTCAATTGAACGAGTCTGGTTGGTGGTGTGTCTGCATGTGTGTCCGTGTATCCAGTCCAAAAAACTCGACCCGACCGAATCCACCAAAACTCCCACCTGACCTGAGCCTGACCTTTTTTTTTTTTTTACAATTGTTCCATGTCACAAGGGAAGGGGGGCGAAAAAGATGGCAAAGGCGTTCATATTGCATCTCTCTGCAACCATCCAAAAAGATTGGGCTGGGTTTACTATTGAGTTGTCCAGTTATGTTGATCCCTCACATTATGCCAGTGCCAAAAACATGGCAAAAAGTAAACAGGGACGGGCCTCCTCTGCCGCTGCCGCTTACCGCGTATCAAAACTACAAACTCTTTACGATGTCCACACAAAATATAATAAAAAGGCCAATTGTAATCCATGCCGGCAGCGTTGTCTACCGACAGCATCCTGTATCTGGGGTTCCTGAGATGCTCTCTGTGTTCCATGTCATGTGGCTGGGTAGTAGTAGTAGTACAGAGTGTGCAGTAAAAGTGGCCCAAAAAGAAAGGCGACGAAGAATTTACCTCCGGGAGTGCTCGAATAGATAGTTCCACCGGGGGTGGTACCATAGTCCAAAGGAATAGGCGTGCCAGGCTCAGCACGTCTGCTTGGGAGGGGGATCGCTCTGGAGTTGGTTGACATGTTTTATGCTTCTAATTGGACGATTTCGGGGGGGTATTCTCGTTTCCGTTTTCTATGATGTGGAAAGGGAAAAAAAATGAGTTAAGGAAGGAACACCAGTAAAAGCTTGTAGGGGGGTTGTTGTAGGTAGGGACTGCTGCTTTATTGCTAATTGGCGGGGTGCAAGCCGTGAGTTGTTGGCGATGCCTGGTATTGCACGCCTTGCTGGTTGTTGTTGGTTTTTTTTTTGTCGGTCTCGGTTTGTACAAAGCGAGAGCGAGATTGAGCTTTTGGTTGTTGTTTGTAGGGTTTGTGTTTGAATTGGCCGATGTCGGGGCGGGTCTTTTTCCTACGAGTTGCGCTGTTGGTGTTTATGCGTACGTTGTTGTGCATCGAGCTGGCTGTTGTCCTCCCAGTATAGCAGACAATGAGCAAAGGACACTCGTCGTGAAGAGCAGAGTGCACCCAACACACATGGTCAATACCTTGATCGTAAGCAAAAAAAAGTAAGGAAAAAAAGAAAGCAAAGCCAAGTGGGTGAAAAAAAAAATCGTAGAGTGGGACAGCGAGAGAGAGCTGGAAAGAGGGCGAGAGGGACAGGACAGTCGGCATTGCCTGTTGTGCATGGAAATAAATCATAGACTGACATCACCTTGCAAGGAATTAACTTATCCAACCTCCAAAAAAAAATGGTGGCGTGCATTAGTAGTTTGCGTCTTGGCTCTCTATCTCCTCTTTTGACTCTTCACTATTCCCACGAACAAACGACTCACTCACAACTCTCAACGTCCTCTCTTCCAACAAGAAGAGTCTCCAGTCATGAGAAGAGTTCACCCCCAACGCGCCAAACCATCTGCTCAGAGTTCGAACACCAACAACAACCCTTCTTCGGGCGGGGCTGACAAGACCAACGTCAACCACGAGGTCAAAGCATGGACCACCCACTCAGAACTCCACAAGCGCTACACCACCGACAACAGCAACACCACTCTTGACCAAGCAGTCAGTCATGCGCGACTAAGCTCTATCAGCAACTCGTCTGCCACTAATACTGCCAAGAAGCCATTTATGTTCAGCTCGTCGTCCATGATGCGACACAGCCAGGAACACGAATCTGACGCCACCAACCTGCGACAGAATGGCAAGCTTTCTCTCGCTAGCAGAAGCAAGGACAAGGACAAGAGCGACAGTGGAGATGGAGGGACTGGTGACCAAGATCGAGGCAGGGTGGGAAACAGACCCTCCATTGTCATCGGCAATGATGATGACGACGACGATGACGACTTTGAGCTTCCCTCAATCGACGAGCTTTTTACAGACGTCCTACCCAGGAAGTTTCGTCGAGTGGACAGCTCTACAGACAGTGACACGACGAGCGACCGCACCCACACCCACCAAGCTCAAATCAAGGACAAGACCCCTCTCCACAATCACTCGCACTCTGATATGAGAAAAGGCAAGCAAGCCGCAGCATCCGAGGATGATCAATGGTTGATGTCAGAGCTTCAAGTCAACGAGAATATTGATCTCTTTTCGCCATCACCCTCAAGCGAGAACGACAACCAACCAATCCAGAAGATGCCGTCAACAATGTCGACCCGGTCCGTCGTCTCTCAAACCCGCCACACACTCAACGAGATTGACCAACTCTTCATGGACGAGTCTCTGACACGTAGCCCTTCGACGCGTCTACAGACGCCTTTCGGCGACCAGGGGTTGAGCGAACAAGGATCGTCTACACTTCATGTCAGAGCGACTGGCATATATTCGCCTGATCAGGATATGAACGAGCCAGGCGCTGATGAGGTCGTCTTGTTCGAGGATCTTCCGCCGGAGGATCCAGATGTGACGATCGGGGGCGACAGTCAAGTTCTCGGGCAGAGAAGGGCAGGCGAAAAGGTTCACGACGAGCCTCGAGATGAACTAGGTGTTGGTCAAGGCGCGACGGTCGGTGATGAACAAGCTACGAGCACCATCGAACAAGCGACTGAGGAGTCTGGCAGTCGCAAGCAGACCCAGACCTTCACCCTACCCCATTCTTCCGATGCATTCAGGGACCGTCTTACAAGTAAGGTTTCTCATTACAACAATCTAGACTACACGCTCGTTAGGATACAGTCGTGACATGCTATCTGACTTTTCTAATCACATTCACGTCCTATCGAGTTTCTCCTTATGTAGAGCTGAGGAGCATCTTCCAGAGCTCCATGGACGAGATGATGGATGCTATTCTGTACGTTGTCAAGGGCTAAACATCTTTTGTTTTGCTTACCGACTTTGCTAGAATATGTAGCAGCTAACCTTGCCTGTTGGTTCCGGCTGGTTTTAATAGGGAGGTGGAGCAGCTGAGAACATCGGTCGAAAAGACTCTTACTGGCCGTCAAGAGTTCCTGAACCACCGCGGGGAACGAATCCACCAACAGGCACGCCAGCTCCAGGAGGAGGCATCATCACTCCACTCGAAGACCCGCGATAACATGCTGCGCGCTGTTCACGATAAGCAGGATAGTACCTAATATTATTGCGCAGGACCCTGTAGGGTCGATCGCAGACCCACTTCTCAAAACACGAACAAAAAAAATGAAATGCAGTCACTTTGTTCTCTTGCGGTCGAGAAAAAACATGAACGTTGTGTTCGTACTTCACGCTCTGTTCTCAGCGACAGACCGAACAACCTCAACCAGAACATTACCCAGCAAGCATGGACAATTCAGATTCACACGACGATGCTTTGGCAAACCGGATCCTGAAATACGCTGCCGCGACATCAAAGACCTCAGACCTGCCGCCATTCCCCGGTGACGATGTCGAATCTCTCCCCTCCGACTACGAATACGACGAGAACGAGGAATACGACGAGGAAGAAGTCGAAGAGATTTCAGAGATGGAACTTCTCAGCCATTTGGATGCCTCCATGCCCCCAATCCTCCTCGCTCAAGAGCTCTTCAATTCCGACGTCGACTCGTCCACCTTCAAAGTCCTCACCTCGGACAACGCAAACGAACTCTTCCATCAGGGATACACCGTCCTCAACAATGTCCTCCCTCTTTCAACAATCCAATCCGTCCGTCAATGGGCGACAGATATGTTCAAGACAGGAAAGATGGATAAAGCCAGTGGGAAACACAACGAGGAGGATGATCCCTTTAGAGAAGGAAACGCTCGTGGGGATTACACGATCTGGGTGTCGCCTGGGTCAAAGTTTTTGGAGGTCTCGCCAGAGTTGAAAGATTGTGTGGATTGGTTCTCGGGAAGGCTACATGACGATCTGGCCAAGGTAGTGCATCTCCACGGACAGGCCGAGTACCAGTTAGCGTATTATCCACCGGATTCGAGTCACTATGAGAGGCATCGGGACTCCTTTCCTACGGATGATAAGGAGGATGTTGACCAGCGCCGCGTCACCGTACGTAGTTTTTCTTGTTGGTTATCTCGACATTCTTTCTTCTTTCGTCAATCGTTCAGTTGCAACTTACTCATGGCTGACCCATTTTCTCGTCTTTTTTGCTTTTATCTGGCATTATAGGCGATTGTGTACTTTAACCCGGACTGGAAGCAAGGCAACGGAGGCGAGCTCAGGATCTTTGACAAGGGAATGGGTGATGAGGAAGAGAAGGAGATCGACATTGCACCGCTGGCAGCTCGTTGTGTTGTCTTTTTGAGCGGAGTCATGGATCATGCTGTCATGCCTGCCTTTGAGGAACGCATCGCCTTGACTTCTTGGTACCGTTAAATCATGACGCTTTCATGAGTACTATACCGTTCACATATTTAAATACATTCTCAATTTTGGAATGTGAGCGTGGACTTTGGGGTTTTTGGTTTATTGTGTGTTGGGGTTTTGATATTCTGGCCTGTGTGTTTCGAAGATGTCCCAGCCATCTCCATGTCACATCTATCCATTGCTGGTAGCTCCGCGCTCCGCTTCCCTTTTGCTCTCGATCCCGTCGTCAAATTCCCTGCCATTCCGTCAATTGATCCGGTGCGAGCTCCTCACGCTGATGGAATCTAGAAAAATGAACAGGCAAAAAGGTTGAAATCCAACAATTAATTGTCGGGGCCAAATATCTATGAATGAAGCCTTCCTGTCCCATCGGTGCGCATGTTTTTTTTTTTCGTTTGCTTACTCGCGTGGAGGCACTCTCTCGTCGAAGTTCCTTGATGACAGCCTGTATGTAGTGAAAGGAAAGAAAATTGACGCGTCAATAAGTGTAGCTCCACAAACCTTGATGAGATATAAAAAAAAAAAAAGTGATAACTCTTGAGCAAAAAAAATAATGATTTGGGACGTTACTGCCAAGGCCTCAGGGTTGACGCCGGACTCGCAGAGGGACACACACACCGAGAGTGTCTCCCTGTCAAGCCCTGTATTGAGGATCGACGACATCTCTGTCAGAACTATCAGGCATGAAAGGGGGGTGCAGGGCACGGAGTGAGAGGTCAGTGAAAAGCCTTTGGCGTGTTGATTCAAGGGGGTGTAGGGTTGGCGATGGAGTGAATGCAGGTTTGTGTATGTGTGTTTGTGTATCCTTACTGTCCATGGCTTGCCGTGCCTCCTGCTGCTGTTGCTGTTGTTGCTGTTCCCGTGAAGCGTCCTGCATTTTGTGAATGTGTATGAAAAGGCGGCTTGAATGGTCTGGAGAATGAGAAGGGGTACAAACTACAAAGAGAAAGACGACAATTGACACACTTTCGCCCAAAAATTGCAGCCTGTGGCTGAGCGAGGGACTCGACACCCCTTCAAGTTTCCTGTGCTGTCTCCATCACTTTTTTTTCCTACTCTCACTTTGAACACTCCACACACACACAGACATACACATGCAACAACTACCGCCCGAACAGCAGCGGCAGCAGCTTCAACGCTTCTACCGCCAAGAACTCAAAGAACTCGCCAGCGTAGGTTCTTCTTCTTCCATCCCTTCTCATTCATTCATCCACATTAGATGAAAGCAGTCAACGTGCCCCACCCAACAGTCTGAGAGACAGAGGTTTTGGTCTTATCACTCTCCCTTCCCTTTCCTCCCCTCCGCTCCTTGCCCCCATCCCCCTCTTCCCTCTCTCTCTGTTAGACAAGAGACGCAATTCGAGCAAAGTCCCGCCCAACGGGCGACTCAGAGTCTGATAGCTACGATGACGACGATAATGACACCTCCAGCAGAAGCAGCAGTCGTCGTCGTCGTGACTACGACTTTGACCAAGATGGCGATATTGCCATGAACGACTATGATGGCGCCTATGGAGTCGAAGCAGCCGATATGGCGACCCATATCCCAGAATCCAATGTCGGATACAAGCTGTTGCTCAAGATGGGATGGAAAGCTGGAACTGGTCTTGGCGCCAATGCCACTGGTAAATTTACCTCGTCTTTCTCTCATTCCAACCTTTTTTAGTGTGTTGTGTGACAAATTGATAATCTGTGCCTTTGCTTTTTTGAGTTATGCTGTAAGAGGGCAACTGACCCCTTGTTTGTTTTACTGTGTCGGTTCATGCTTTTATAGGAAGATCGACACCGATTCCGATTGAACGGAAACAGGATTCTTTGGGAATTGGAAGACAGGCGCTTGATATATGGTGGGCGGACTCTACGACTGCCAAAAGGAAGGCTCTGGAAGCTGAACGACAGGCTGAAGAGACTGTGGCCGAAAAGTCAAAGCGCGAGGTACCTCTTTTTTTTTTTAGCAGTTTTCGCACAACGTCAAGGATGAAATTTTGGTTTGAACTCGAGTTGTTTAAAACGAGACTGACGCGTTTTTTTTATTCCTTTTGTATGATGAACCATTAGCTCCAAGTACAACAGAATGAGGCTATTCAAGCAGAGTTGACGATGGTCAAGTCGGCCTTCTATTGTGCTCTCTGCGACAAGCAATATGAACGTATCTCGGATTATGAAGTTCATCTGTCTTCATATGATCACAATCACAAGAAGGTATTTCAACAAAAATATCCCTCAATCTGATACACACATTCTCAAACGGCGAATGTTTTGAATTAATTGAGCGCGATTTCGTTTCTAACCATAATGGTTGATACGTTTCTCATTTCAAAACGCGAACAGCGATTCAAGGAGATGAAGGACACGAGTCGAGCGGGAGCGGCTCAGACGACAAGCAAGATTAAGGAGAAGGAGCGCAAGCGAGAAGAGCGTGAGTTGGCCAAGATGCAAGAAGCCGCTATGAAGCGTGCAGGAGGAGGAGGAGGAGGGATTATGCCCCAACAACCGTCAGCTGCAGCTTCAGGGATCAACATCAACACCAGCAGTGGTTTTCAACCAGTTCAACCCATTGGATTTCAACCGGTCCAGGCAAGCGGCTTTCAACCAGTGCCAGCTAGCGGGTTCCAGTCTGTCAGTAACGTCACAGCGGCGACTCCAACGATCACAACTCAGTCATCATCAGCATCAACAGTCGTGCCAGAAACAGAGTCAGCCACAGGATTCCAGCCAGTCAAGTTGGGGGGATTTCAACCCGTCAAGTCGAGTGGATTCCAGCCCGTCAAGTCGAGTGGGTTCCAGCCTGTCAAGGCTAGTGGGTTCCAACCCGTCAAACTGGGTGGCTTCCAGTCCATGGACGACGAAGACGACGAAGAAGAAGCGAAAACCCAGGCCGTGCAGCAACCACAAGGAGCAGCAGGATCTGCAACTTTAGGAAGCAATGGTGCTAGTAGTAATTCTGCTCCCGCACCAGCGCCAGCACCAAGTGGATTCCAGCCGGTCAAGATTGGAGGCTTCAAGCCAATGAAGATTGGAGGATTCCAGCTCAAGAAACCAGGGACCAAATGATGAATGCTTGATAATAAAACGCCTTTTTTTTGGAAGCAGGTTCATTGATTTATTTCAAACTGGCTCTTCTCTCACGCTCCTTCTCCTCTCGAAACTCCTTTCGTTCCTTCTGTTGTTCCTCACCCCCCTCCCAATAATAATCCTGCTTCTCATCCTTGCCATCGACAGAAGCCGCCACGGCTTCATCCTCTACCTCATAATCGTCATCATCCCTGTTATCGACATCATCGTCGTCGTATCCAATCTTGGCAGTTCCGCTGACTTCAGCACTTCCGGCTTGACGAACAAACTCATTAGCATGCTTGACAGCCAGCTCGGGCGTCTTTTTGTAACCCATCAAGAACCCCTGCAACTGAGCGATCGAGAACTGTTGATCCGGGATCACTTGCGAGAACTGCGCTGCCATCCGTTCGATTTCTTCTTGAGTCCGTCCTGGTTTCGATGACGATGAAGGAATAGACGATGACAAGGTGGGTGAGCCGGATTTCTCAGAAAGCAAGGGGGATGACTCTCCAGAAATGGAGGATGGAACATCACCCTTGCGTGGCGGTGTGGTTTTAGTTTTATCGGCTGAGCTGGAACGAGGGTCGGTAGTTGCGACGGGTTGAGGGAAGAACTTGATGAACAGCTCTGCAGCCTGAGACTGAGTAGCCTTTCCGAGTTTGGCCCTGATATCCACACGGCCAGGACGAATCAACGCCTCATCTAAGCGTTCCAAATGGCTATTAGAAAACAATGAAGGCGAAGTGCAATGCCACTTGTAAGTATACGAAGCGGTCGTAATAAAAGAAAAACAACATAGACATAATTTCAAAAGCATAAACCCCGACTCAAAGCAAAAAAAACGTACTTGGTGGTCATGCAAAGCATACGTCCTTCTTGAGCAGAAACACCGTCAACAGAGTTCAGCAATCCCGAGAAGGTAATTCCAGTAGAAGCATCCTTGGACTTTCTCTGAACAAACGCCGCATCAACATCTTCGATCAGCAACAGGCATCGTGAAGGTGTATCCGCGACCAGCTCCGAAAGCGTATCATCCGTCAGGTTCTTGCTCGACAGGTTGACGACGTAAATGTTGAGACCCAGTTCTCCGGCCAAAGCGTGAATAAACGATGTCTTTCCAGTTCCTGGTGATCCGTACAGCAGTAACTAGAAAAAAAATTAACTATGGTTAGCAAATACATCAACCGACCGCTATACTTCCGCGGAAGAAGGACAATAATATGGCGTGTTAACTTACTCCGCGTCTGAAGGGCAAGCCTCGCTCGGCGTACCAGCTCTCGCTCGCAAAGAACTCTTTGGTATCTTCAACAATATAATTCTTCAGTTTAGGATCCATAACAATTGTATCAAGTGGTCTATCGTTTGTTCAACAACATAAATGAAAATTCGCGTGAGTATCTCCGCCTGCGGCACCTTCACTTCTTAAAGTGCAGCAAGTAAAAAAAAAACATACCGTTTTGGTCTAGATTTGGTCCGCCTCCAGTTTCCATATTGGTCGGCTGCAAAGATGACGGTTCGGGACTTGTCGCGGTCAATAAACTTGTACTGAGCTTCCAATATCAACGATTGGATCAACTCACGCGAACGTCCGAGTGTACTGATGGTGATGTTCTCAACTGGAGATCCTGAAGTCGCCACTGTTGCTCCTGTGGGTCGAACACGTTCTCTGTACATCTATTTCAGGTGTTCGATAGCAATGACGAGTTAGGTCCTGTTTCAAAGAAAGAAAACGCGTCTCGTGGAGGGGCAGTACACGTCAATTGTTCCTGGGCCGGTAAACATACCCAAAGCAAACGGTTCTTGAACCAAAAGAAGTGAAGACCTATTGTGATATGTCCATCAAAAATAAACGGTCAGTAATATGATAACGTGGGAACAACGTATTTTTACGCGTTAAATTGAGTGCTTACCAGGCGCAGGCAAAAAGTACGTGGCAGCGATAGCACCATCTCCGCCCTCTCTACGTAAAGGAACGAGGACAAAGTGTATTCGTGGGTGAATAAGGCCATTGAAATCCTTGGTTGACTTTCATCGGCCCAATCGACCTGAGTAGTGGTTGTCCTTACCCGTTAATCTTTTGTGCGCCTCTTGCGATAGTTGTCGAGACGGAAAACTGTGTAGCTTTCTTCGAATACGGATGGTCACTCAACCAGTTCTACGTCGGGAAAAAAAAAAAAAAAAAAAAAAAAAAAAAAACAATAATGAAAACGCGTTAGTAGAGGCAGTGGAGAATCGTGATTCATGGCTCCGAAATACTTGACAAGGATGTCATGGGCGAAATGTGATGCATACCAAGATCCAGCTGTATGATTCATCGCGGGAATCGAACTCAGCAGAGACGACGATTTGTTTCTTGAGATACTCGAGAGCATGCGAGCCCAGGATACGGATACCTGCCAACAGACCTCCGATCAACGCCAGCTGGAAACCTCCTGCGGCGAACTAAGAATGTAATACGGAACAAAGCAGGATTAGTAGCCATGTAATACTGTTTGTCTGCTCATGCCAAGACACCAGGGAAAAGGCTGCAAGGTGTGTGTACCTGGTTGTCGCCAAGACCCATTTTATCAGCAGCGCTAGAGACCATCTTTCCAACCTCTTGAGCTCCTTCGGGAAGGGAGACAAAAGACCGGTGTCCTGCCAACGCCAATCCTCCAACAAGGGCATTCCTGCCCAGTGTGAGACCGTTGCCGATAAAATAGGGGGAACCCCTTGTCGCTGCTGCTGTTGCAGCGGAAGTTGCTCCTCTGGCGACTGTTGCGAGGAGTAAAGGGTGATTAGTGGCAATGGCACTGGCTCCTCCGCTCATGCCGACCATGGCGACTGCCGAGGATATCCTGCCCAGGTGCAGGTGTGACATGAAGGGTGACGGGAAGGGTCGTTGTGTCGTGAATGTGAAGGAGAAGGGGAATGAATGGAGTGTAGTGTCGAGTTTTTATTTTTATTTCCGCCGCTGCCCCTTTTTCCCAAAAGTGGTCAAGTCTTCTTCTCAGAGCTGTCACATTTTTCTACTTGGGCGCGCGCACCCTCCCTTTTTTCAACTTTTTCCTTCTTCACACTTCTTCACATCATAATCCAACCGAACCACCCATTCCAACAAAATCATGTCCGAACACATCTCTGACACCTTAGGACTCGACACCCGCGCCGAACTTGACGCAAGGCTCGTCCAGGAATCCCGCGGAAATAACAACACCGTCCACGGTACATATTCTTTCTTATTCTCCCAATTCCGCCAAAGCGCACGCACAGCAAGCTGAAAACCACCTGCTCCAACTCAATAGCACGCTAAAAGCACTGACGACCACTTACACTAGATAATATCCTCAACATCTCTCTTCGACCGACCTGATGATGCTGTTCAAATACAATAGGCATCCCACCGTTCACGGTACCCCGCGCAGACGGAACATTAGAAGTCAGTCCAGATATCCGAGGCGACATCCCCGGGACAGCAACCGCCCGCATGATGCGACGACGCCAACAACAGCAACAAGGAGGAAACGTAGCGCGAGGAGACCACGACGGCGACGGCAATCAGACCAATCTTCAAGGTTACCGTGACGGTCGGGACAAGAACAAGAATGAGGACGGATCAAGCGGAAACAACCGTGGTCAAGGAAAAGGAGGTTTGGCGGGTGCTTATATGGTCGGATTGACGACGAGACGGCCTTTGCTCCAACGGGTGCGGAAGGCGTTCATGCCGGCCCTTATTGGTGGCCTGATTGCTTGGTGGTATGATGCCGTCGGCGTTTTAATCTACCGGAACGACTCGCGCATCAAAGGGTATGTACAGCAACGCTTCATACCATCTATCGCTTGGATGACATTGCTCGCCGCCTCACTTATCGAGGACCTTTCGGAACGCGTTGTTTTAAGCTTGCTAACTGATCGTGTACCCATTCACCTTTCATTCATGTCTCTCTATAGATACTTGTTGACATTCTCCCTGCTCTGCCTATCGACCATGCTCTCAATCTTCTTCTACCTCGAATTCATCCGCCCAAAGATCCTCAAAAAGCCAACAGTCTACGTCAACTGGGAGAAAGAGCTCCTATACCCTGTCCGCGTCGCAACCATCTCTCTGATACTAGGCACCATTGGTGCCAATATTGCACTTTGGCCCGTCTGGCATCTTTCTACGGGCTTTGTCCTCCTTGCTGTCGCCATAGCAACCGTCAATGTCCTCGGTATATTCATTTAGCCTCCCATCAAACTACGTGAGATGGATATGTTTAATGTGTAATACACTGCAATGTGGATTTAATATACTTCAATATCTGCGTGCGGATTAATTCATCTTGGACACTTCCAAACGGACTCGTTCTCTCTCAGCTTCCTCAGCCCTATGACATCAAAACAACAAGCAAAACACCTTCATTAGAAAGTGCCAAGAAACGCCAATAGCTTTGCAAGTATTCATACATCCAAAAGAACTTACGCAGAACCAATGACAGGTGAAGCTCTGTAAGCAGGTGATGGGCCACGAGAAGAGGAACCTCCTGCTCCGCTGCTAGAGTTCAAACGCTGAACACCAGGACGGTGTCCACCCTCAATGTCATCATCATCCCGATCGTCCTCTTCTTCCTCGTCGTCCTCCTCCTCGCCAATATCAAACATGGCTGCCTCGTCGCCATCCAGTTCATAGTCGCGACGCTGGGGACGGAGCTTCATGCCAGTCAATCCCATGGATTCCGCTGCGCGAGCATTGTTGTGGTCTGCGTGCTCGTCAGTCTCGTCAAAGTCCTCAGTCTCCAATTGCTCGATTCCGTAGCGCTATTGTTGCAGGATAAGTCGAAATGTAATTAATTAGGGCTTCCTCCCAAACACACACACAAACACATGCAACATTGTTGTTCTTCGTATCAAGTTCTCATTCCAGATGACTGAAATGTTACCTTGTTGTTCTCAGTGGGTCTCCACAAGATGACAATGACGGTGAAAACAATCAGGTACAGAATGTTCAACCAGCCATCCAAGAGGAACCACTTGATGCGCCAGTGGTTAGCAGGCCAGTCGTCCTGGCTCATGTTCATAAAGTTGAGGGTGTTAAAGACAAAGAAGACGCAAAGGACCGAAAGTGAAAAGACCAACAGGCGCCAGAGACGCGTGTACATCTTGACCTTCTCAGTCTGACGGCGCAAGTTGAGAGTGGCGATCGTAGAGGTCAACGATTGAAGGGTCCAGATGTAAAAGCTGGTCATGGTCAGGGATAGAGGTACAACGACCATGAGCACGATCATCGTGCTCACGTCGTCAACGGGGGACATGGTTCCTGCAGAGTAGATGATTCCAAAGAGGAAATGGGCCAAACTCAAAATAATGACCTTTTTCATGGTGCTTCCAAGTGTAGGCCTATTTGTTCGGATACCCAACAAGAAGATGTGAGCAAGAAGGCCTCATCATATGATTAAAAGTCGACATTATAATCCTACTGCTGTAGTCCAGTTTACTTACTTTACAACACCGTAGCCCATGGAGACGATCAGCAACATGAAGAGCGACAAACTGTTGCGTCCAGAGTTCAGGATGGAAACAAGGACCAACAATGCGACCGCTACACACATCCAGGATAAGAAATATAGTCGTAGCGTTAGAGGTCGGACCTGGAAAAACTGAAATACGCCACTATCCGGATGAATATCAAGGTGAGCAGTAAAAATACTTACAGGATTCGCCAGCCTTGTTGTAGTCGTCCCAGTAACCCCAGTTGAATGCCATCTCGACCATCAAGAAAAAGATGACTCCTGATATGAAATGCTGAACAGTCAAAATCTCACGCCAGTGCTTAGCGCAAAGGACCATCCAGCAAATACCGATGGTCATGTAGACCAACGACAACGCGCCGTAGAACTAAGGTTATCCACAAGATAAATAAGCAGCTCAGTTAGTTGGTGGTTATCTTTACAAACCTCGCAATAACAACGCGTCAGGGATGGAAAGAGCGACACTTACGGGCAGCTTGGGAAAGTCGGATCCAGCCAGCGTTCCGTATTTGTTGTTGAATTCGAGGACTCCAGTATAGTAAGAATCCAGATCGTTGACATTGACCGTCCAGACAATCACGCAGTAATATCCTGTCCGCTCAGCTACGTACTCATAGAACTGGACGCCTTTGGTTTCTTCGGCTGTAAAGTCAAGTGGATGCCAGCCAATACTAGTCGATTCCGTAGTGTCGATGATAGGCTGGCCCAACTGTGCCTCAGTGCAAAGTCCATCTGTCTGGGCCTGAGTGTCGCAGACATACACTTTCTGGATAAGGTCGAAATAAAAAAAATGTCGCGATGATTAGGTTTTTGTCCTTTGCTTTAAAAAAGATCCGGTGGCTGTGCCAGTGTGTTTTGGTTTTATCAGTCAGCGCCGATGTAAGATATCGGGTATGCACTTACTTCACCGTTGGCGTCTGCCTTTCCAATGTACTTGAGGTCGTTCCACTCAAAGACAACAACAACTGCATGTCCGACTGACTCTCGGCCCATGACGACTGATAAAAATTATTCCGAGAAGAGAGTAAAATGAAAAAGAAGCAGGTATTAGCACTTTGCGCCACGGTCATAATTAACGTCAATCGAGGCTGTAGTGGCGTTGAGGCAACTTTTTATTTTTAACGACAAAGGAAACCAACAACGAGTACCCTACCTTTAATTACACTGTCATTCTTTCCTGGCGTCGTCGCGTACATGCCACCGCATTGATCCTTGACACCCACGCTGTCCTATTGTAGTCGACCAAAGTCAGGGTAACATACGGACGCGTTTAGTACTTCTTTTTTTCGTTCCTGAGAAGAGCGTGCAGGTGTGCTTGCTGTTGTCGGTATTATCGTTGTTCCTATGAAGCAGTATAACAACCGAGTTGCAATGATAGACGTACGATGTTGGTCTTGAAGGCTTCTGTGTAGGAGAGGTTCAACAAAAGAGCGAGGACCAGCAGCACACCGTAAAGTGTGCTCCTCAATGGTGCCATGGTTTCAACAAGTGTGTCTGAGAATGAAGGCCGGAAGAAGCGAGGAGGGAGTTGGCGGGGAGATGAGAAGAGAAGGACTTCGTGCAAATGCTGATGTGTGTTTTGTCGATGCAAGTCCTTGGGGCAGAAAAAGATAAGGGTGAAGGATGAGGGATGATGAAATGAAGAAGGGAAGGAAGGAAAAATGAAAAGTGAGCACAAGAACGTTGGTGGAAGCAACTGCTTCTATTCGACCAGCAGTGAGTGGCGGGACTGGGCAGGGAAATAGACCCTGAAGCGGCCGCCGGGCCGTCTGAGTGACGTCACACTTTTGCGCTGAGCCAGCCAGACCCTCCACAGCGCCAGCATCATCGGCATCTTGAGTCTGCTCCAGAGGAAATCTGCACGGCACAGGCTGGTACCATCTGATGTCCAATCCCAGCTCCTGTCGATCCAGAAGAATCTGACAGACCATTGTCCCGATTGACGCCTGTGCGCTGATCCAGGTGGTAGTCCGAGTAGAGCGCTTCCATGTAGGACGCCTTACTGTCCTTCAAGTCAGCCGTTAGCTTTGCTACTCTCAGTTAACCAGAGAGTTTGCAGTCGTGATGATGTTGTCGTGAGTTGCTTGGGCGAAACCTTGTCTCCACCATCTCTCTGACCCATTCTTTTTGATGTTGTCGAGTTAATCATGGTAGTATGAATGGCTTGTGCATTGCTTCACGTTTATCTTCTCGATGCACCTTCTGGCGCAACTCGATTCCCATCTTTGCAGAGACCAAGCACCAGCCCGTTCTCTTGGACAAGTGCAAGTTCTTCTTCCAGCCGACGAGTTCTACGATGTCTTTGGCGACAGTGCGTTTTCAAGAGGACCATTCACGTTTTTGCCCTACGCCCTCAAGTTATGTTAGTAAATGTTGACTCCATCAACACTATCGTTGGGGGCACCACCCAAGACCATCCATCTTGTTCGCTGACGTGTAAGACTTAATTTCATCTATACCATATAGCGGCAGAGGGTTGCTTTTTTTGTCACCGTCAAAGGGGAGCCCGCAGACCCATTTCCTTGCAAGGTTAACCCAACAACGGTCACTGTTGAGGAGCTCCTCCTTCGGATTCGAGTAGGTCCGTCGTCACTCCATCCGGATCGCAACAGGATCGCGATCGAGCACCGAAGGTGCAGTGTTTTCCCTGATGGAGACATCGCGTTGCTGTCCAAGGACAAGGAGAAGGACAGGGGAACAGGGGAAAATACGAGGACAATAAAGACAAACACGAAAGGACAAAGAGGAGAAGGACAAGGAGCTGCAGATTATCCTCAAGTTGTACCTGGATGCCAAGATTAACGAAATCACCGTCGATGTCGGGTTTTCGACCAAAGGGTTCTCATCTTTCAGTATGGTGGACGTTGAGGCGAGGGTGGGCACTCAACAGATTGATCGAATGCGCCTGAAGGTGGTTGATTGTGATAGCGGAGAAAGGCAGGAGGCGTTGAAGATCCTTTTGGAGGTCCTCAAGTTCGCCAGGGGATCGATGGGCAATTCAAGTGAGGCGTGCATGATAAGGTTCGCCGGCTTGTTTTTCATGATGGCCTGTGCCTTGTTCCCAGATCTCGATCTCGTCCCTGAGAAGAGCATTACGGGAAGATGGGGCACGGACCAGGTGAACTACTTGATCGAGCCGAGGAACGCAATGGATGCGAGCATGGTCGGTGTCGTCGAGGCCAATAAGGGGACGACGTTCGTATCGGGTTTTCCTCTGAATGTAGCGCTGCTCGGGGTGACACTTTTCAACCGGATGAAGCTCGATTGTCGACACAACGGCAAGCCAGTCGTGGCTGATGCCAGCAAGTGGGAGTTCGTCGAGTGTAAGATGAAGGCGGCCGCGGCGATCGGCAACGATCACAGACTTGTCGTGAAAGGGGAGATACCTCCGGTGACCGTAAACTACAAGGACGATAAGTGAATGGAACAGGTGCAAGACGTCTTTGGGTACATCGTGTGGTTGTTTGACGAGATGTCGAGCTCGATCACAAGTCCCAAGAGACCGAGGAGGAGTAGATACCTACTCACGCACTCTTAACCAGCATGTAGATTGTATGTATCATGGAGATTGTATGTAGCTACGAATACTCATCGTCTCGCTGTGCTGTGCAAGTTGTTGGCATCCGCGATTCGTTTCATTGAATTGTTCATGATAGCCACGGCTGCGGATGGCGCGGGTGTAAGGACAAAACTGGTACATGTGCATGGCCAAAATTTGGTATGGGTGCATGGACAGCCAGTGGCCCGAATGTCTGGGTCCGGGCGCATGCAAAGATAATGGTCCGGGTGCCATCCGAGGACACCTGATCGATCAACAGCGACCACTCTATCTCCAGCCCAAGGACACTTTCCTTGGATGCAGTTTCAAACCGTTACTCGCCCTTGGCTTAGTTTTGGTTACTCTATTAATCACTTCGGTGACGTAATTTATACGCCCATTCTTCTTTAGTCACGAGACTCTTGAATAAAGACTTTGGACCTTTGCAGGTTGGACGTTCTTCCTCTTACCCCCACACTTCACTCTTGACATAACACTCGCCTCAACAACTCCTTGCCGCATCACACCAACTGACTGCAAAGAGTATAAACCAGGAACCGACTCTTATAACCCTCACCACTACCACAACAGTCAATAACAGGACCAACATGGGTTGCGATGGAGGCTCGATTCCCAAGCGAGACGAACTCGTCAAGCAGAAGCAGCGAAAGGCCAAGGTCGACCAAAACATCCTCAACAGGGTCCACTGGTTCACCTGCGCCCTTTCCAAGAAACCTCTTTCTTCCCCCGTCGTCTCCTGCGGACTCGGCAAACTCTACAATCGAGATGCCATCCTCGAATTCCTCCTCGACCGCACAGCCTACGGCGATGGCGATCTGATTTGTAAGCACATCAAGTCCCTGAAGGATGTGGTTACCCTCCAGCTCGAACTCAACCCTTCCTTCTCTGAGACTCAGTCCGCCAGTCTCACCAACCACGACCAGGAACCTGTCTCTCGCTATATCTGCCCGATCACCATGAAGGAGATGAGTGGCAAATACCGCTTCGTGTACCTGGACACTTGTGGATGTGTCATGTCCGAGCAGGCTATGAAGGAAGTCCCCTCTAAGACCTGTATTAAGGTACATTTTTTCCATGTTCTCGGCTTGTTCGTTGTAATCGCCAATTTTGATCTGGCCATGTTACTAATCCATTTTTTGTATTGTCGTTCTGTTCTAAATAGTGCGCCAAGCCATATGAAGCCGTGAATGTGATTGTTCTTAACCCAAAAGCTGAGGAACAGGAAGCCATGGAACTCGCACTGGTAGAGAAGCAGGCACGGATAGCGGCAGAAAAGAAGGAAAAGAAGAAGGCCAAGGCCAACAAAAAGGAATTAGAATCCATGAACGGTGCTGATTCGAAACTGCTTGTCTCGACAGCAACATCGTCCAGCAAACGCAAGTTGGACGAGGCCACTACCACGGATTCTCACAAGCATAAGAAGCAACATACGACAACGACGACGACAGCAACCTTGTCCTCGACGCATTCGTTGACTGCTGCGGTTGCTGCCAAAGTTGCCGAACAGATGGCTGTCAACGCCAGTCGTCAAAAGTCATCGGCTATCCAGTCGATCTATAACAATGGTCGAGTCTCGAAGGAGAACTTTATGAACCGCTAATAGAGCTACTCCTCATCGACCCAATGTCGTTTTGTAATATTACTTCTGCCTTGTATCTCAATAAAAAACATGCTCTCAGCACACACTTTCGATCTGACGTTCATATTGCCATTGCCTGTTAGTTGTACAGTACACAAAGGCTCGACCACCTCCAACAAAAAAAAAAAAAAAAAAAAAGTGTGTTTCTGTCGAAATATAAAAGAATGTGGAGAATGAGAGACTTGAACTCCCGACCTTCCGCTTTGGAGACGGACGCGCTGCCAATTGCGCCAATCCTCCTACATATTTTCGTTAAATTCAAGCCCTAGTGGTTCCTGGGAAGCAGCGCGTACGATCATAATTTCGGTGACGTAGAAATTAAGGGGCTCTCTTTACAAGTCGTGGAGGATGATTATCTGCTCGTGTGGCTAGTGAAGCGCCATACACACGAGGATGGGACTTGCGCTGCTGACGAGTGGTTGTTGGAGAGTTTGTTAGAAAGGAGGAGGTTGTCAATGATGGAAGGTCTGGGAAGAATCTCCTTTATGCGTATCTAGTTTTATTTTGTCTTCCTTTTAAGCTATGAAGAGCAAGCGACGGTTGTTGTGCAGAGCCAGTTTCCGGATCGGACTGGAACTGGTGGATGGGGTTTCGGTCTGTGGTCCCCAAGTACCTGTTCTGTGTTGTTTGTCAGAATTAAAAAAAAAAAAAAAAAAAAAAAAAAAAAGAGTGAGGAAGGTGGATGCTTGTGACAAGAAAAAAAATGGAAAGGGTGGATGCCGAGAGAAACAGCACTGTGTCCAATTTTTTACTCAATGGATGTAAACGGATCGTTGTTTGTATTTGGGTGGTGCTCAGTGCGTATTTCCGCCCTGAACACGACCCACCCAGCGTCGGTAATTTGTTCTTCTTGCTTCTCGGCAGTCGAGGGAGACCCGATCAACCTCTACGAACTCGATAGGATGAGGTATCATCGCCAACCCTGCGACAACGCTGGAAGAACGCGAAAACCCTTGCGCCGAGACTTGGTTTTCTTGGGGTGGGTGTGTAATGTCGACGCGTCAGTACTGCTGTTGACGAATCGGGATTCGGTGGCGTTGGCAGGCTTGTTGGCGGTGGTGCAGGATGGAAGGACAGAGACTACAGAAGCGTATTCGATATGGGTAGCGATGATGAGAGCAGCAAGAGCTATTGTCAATGAGATAATGAATATCGTATTTAGAGGTGGTTGTGGTGGAGAGTGTGTTGGTAGAAGGTAGTTGCGATTGATAGCTGTTGCTATTTGAGATGGGGGGGGGGGGGGTCGTCGTCGTTGTGTTTGTGTGCTAGTGGATGCACAATCTAGGATCAAAGCACAACAGCGGACTCGAAACTTACCAGGGAATTGAAGTGCACCTAAAAAAAGGCAGCGTGGGACACAAGCAACTGGGACAAAAACCTCCTTTAGGTGTGAACTAACCTCCCATGAAGAACTCATGCACGCAGAGCCAGTCAAAAAAAACACACCCTCCGAGGAAAAGCAAAAAGATCAAAAATCTGGCCTTGAACCTGACGTGTTGGGAATAAAGACTTTGGAAACCTTTAATCACCCCTTATCTGACCCCATCATGGTCACCCACCACCTTGACTTCACACTCCACCGCTTAGGTTGGGACAAAGGACACAACAGAATGGTTATGGCTCAGCTATTTTATTTTTTGCTGCTTCGTAAAAACTGTACAAAAAGAAAGAATGTCCTAAGAACAAGAAAAAAAAGAACAATGTTCGGCTAAGCTACTCCTGCTCATGCTCCTGGTCCTTCCTCATCGTCTGTCCCATCCATTCAGTCAGGACTTAGACGATGACGGGCTCGGCCAGGTTAGGTCCGTTTCCGGCGGGGACAACACCAGTTGGGTTAATCTGCAAATGGGACTGATAATAATGGTTCTTGATATGCTCCATGTTCACCGTCTCCGCAATCTTGGGCAACTGATAAATCCTCCTAGTCCACTTCAAAATGTGAGGGTAATCCTTCTCAATCCCTTTGATGTTACACTTGAAGTGTCCATGGTAAACCGGGTCGAATCTCACAATGGTCGTCCAGAGACGAAGGTCGGCCTCGGTCAAGGTGTTTCCAACAAGGTAATCGGCCTTGGAAAGGATGTCTTCGATGCGATCGAGGGATTTGAAGAGAGGGTAGACGTTGTTCTCATAGGCGGCTTGGGTGGTGGCAAAGCCGGATTTGTAGACGCCATTGTTGACGGTGTCGTAGATCCATTCGTTGGTGGCGTCGATCTCGGTCTGGAGGTTGGCGGGGTAGTAGTTGATGCCGGCCTTGGAGGGGACCAGTTTGTCGAATGCGGTGTTCAACATTCTGATAATCTCACTGCTCTCGTTGTTGACTATTATAATGCATGCGCAATTTTAGGGAACGTCAGATTAGTGACCATTATCCACATTCTTGTTTCTCACATACGACAAAAAATACAACTCCCAAGGAGGACATACCAATAGTCTCGGTCTTCTTATCCCAAAGAACGGGAACAGTGAACCGACCAGCATAGTCAGGCTGGGCCTTGAAGTAGATCTCGCGGACAAACTTGGCTCCGTACAACGAGTCCTCATATCCGTCCTTGAAGGGCCAGCCCTTCTCCTGCATGTGCCAGTGGACAACATCCAGCGAGATGATGTCCTCCAGTCCTTTCAACGCGCGGACAAGCAACGTGCGGTGAGCCTAATGAGAGAGAGGGGAGAGAGAAAGGTGGAAGGGAAGGGCGTGACGCGTGAGGCGTATTTGGTTAGAAATCAATTGGTGTGAGAGGCATGGGGCTGAGAAATGGCTCGGTTTTTAAGTGTTCAAAGGGTTGAAAGGAGACAGAAAAAGGAAGAGATGATAAAAAAACCTACCCAGGGGCATGCGTACGAGATGTAAAGGTGGTAACGACCACTAAGGAAAGCAAAGCGCCGGAAGGACGTTATCCAATGGCGAGAGTGTTAGTCATCATTTCTTGTTTTTGCATGATCGCGACAATGTATTTCACTGCGCTTCACAAAAGAACTCGGCGTGAGAAAAAGAAAGAATGAAACATTAGGAAGGAGGAAGTCGCGCTGTCTTCTCTCCCTTCCAGCGCAATGTCCTGGAGTTCACCACGTTCTCCCTCTCTTCTTCATCTTCCTTCCTTCTTGCCATCCTCGCCACATCCGCAAAGACTCTCACACCGTCCTCCTCCATCCTGTCAAACAAAGAACAAGAACAAAAGCAAAGACAAATGAGAGTCAAAAAAGACTTACGCCTCGGGAACAAACTTGGACCCAGGCTCATCAGAGATAACGTCACGGAAGGACGAGACCTGGCGCTTGAACTCGCCCGTCTTGTCGTTGGCCCACTTGAGGATCGAAGGCTGGTCCTTGGTAGCGGTCGACATGTTGTTTCTTTGCTGGTGTTGAGAGAAGTGGTGGTGGTTGTTGCTGGTGATAGCGAGGCTTGAGAGAAGAACGGTAGTAGTAAAACGAGGGCGAATGAGTAGGTGTCGGAAGGTTGCGGTTGGTGTTTGGCTCCTTGAAGTGCAAAGAACGGCTCTAATTGTTGAGGCAAGAATGACTGGGAGCGTTGAGTGTGTGAAGTTGTGGGAAAGAAAAAAACGCAAATCGCGCTTTGCTTTTGTACTCTTTCAAATTTCGAGTTCGATCTCACCATTCATCATGGGTGGCTTAGCTCTCCTTACTAAGTCTGGGACAGTAAGGTTAGTGCTTTGATTCGGGCAAATGACAAATGCGAAGAGGAGAGGGAAAGAGAGACCCTTTGTCAGCTCAGCGCGTTCCACTTTTCGTGCCATGTCCCATTGGGCAGAGGGTCAGTGAAGGTATCAGGCAATCATAACGATTTGTCTTTGTTTTTTATTATATTTGTAAAGAGCGTGATATTATTCTTTTGAAGATAAGGGTAAAAAGAGTGAGGGGTTTCGTAATGTAATCGATAGTCGGCTTGGTGGGTGGGTTACTTCTTCTCCTGAGGTGATAGAAAAACGCGACTAAGAAAAGTTCGTGTCACGGCGAGATGGCTTCTACGAAAGGCACAACGTGTAGCAATGCAGTGCAAAATTGCATAGTATTCTTATTACTTGGGTTTGTCGTTGCCCTTAAAAACATCGGTCTTAGACAAGATGACGATGACGATAATGATGAGAAGGATGAGGGTGATGATCAAGCAGATCCACTTCTTCTTTCTGGCGCCACGGGCGTTCACAATGGCCGTGTCGACCTCCTTGTTTCCGGTCTCCAAGTGGATATCCGTCTGCTGGGTGTTCTCCTCAATGGTGTTCATCACCTCGGCCTGCTCCGTCACCAAAGTCTCCATGTCAATAAACAACTGGTGCAACTCCTACAGGTTCAAAAGATAAAACCGACGATATTAGTCAAACAATTCACAGCTGTGTTCATTCAGTCAACAGACAGGGTTTAAAGACAGAGAAAAACGTACAAGAATGGTCTTCTCGATCTTCTTAATGTCGTCGTGGCGAGACTGGACTTCACGGAGGGCTCTGTTGGCATCGCCGTAACGGGTGCTGTTGAGGACAGACTGAGCGAAAATCTGCTGGTTGTCGCTCTCCATGACCTGAGAAATCTCCTGAGGGGTGGCATCAGGCTTGACTAATATCCATCACATGTAAGAAAGTCGCTGTTAGTATCCACATTTACCAACGCAACCTAACGACAATTCCCACAGCCATATGAACATGCTGCCTTACCAATCTTGTACTGTCTCTCCATGCGTCCCTGATACTTCTTTCTAGCCTCGCTCTCAGCCGACTGGTAGCGACGAAGGGTCTTCAAGAACTTTTCCTTCAACGATCCAGCCTGAGTCTTGCGAATCTGAATCTCGGACGAGTTGGCCAAACGAAGGTTAGCCAACTCAATATCTGATTTAACACAAAGATGCGAGAATAGAGTCAGCAATCGATGCCACATGCAAAGCAGCAGCAAAGAAAACAGTGATGGAGCAGAAGGTAAAACGTCAGTGCAATTACCCTTGATTCTCTTCTTGGTTCTGTTGGACAATTGGGTGGTGTCGGCGGTGAGGGCCTCCAATTGACGGGTAGTCCTGGCGGTCTGGTCCTCGGTGGTGACGCTGTTGAGCGAAACATCGTGCAACTCTTCGATCTTGTTAATGTTCTGTTCAATCTTGGTAATGTCCTCTTGGATGGAGGTCACCTAGAAACAAATATAAAACAATGTAGTGCATGCATCGGGGGTTAATAAGATGCAGGTCGCACCAAATGCAATATGTTCCAGCTGCTGAGCAAGACCTATTTGCGGCAAAGGCGACTAAAACAGAGCGCTTTCTAAACGCATATTTCTTGATTGCTTTCTTCCACACAGGAGAGAGAGGGGAGTACCCTTGCCTCCTTCATAATTCCAGCTCCTGTTACAAAGGCGCTCTCTTGCCTCTTGCCTCCAGAATCGTTGGTCCACCTTAAGTGCCCTTTTTATCTTTTTTGCTCCCATATCAACATTGAGCCCGAAATTGAACTCTCTTCTATTTCTCGTCTCTTTTGTTGTGCAGGATATTGTTCCAAGTCAGGTAGTGACAAAAAAAAGCGTAAACAGCAAGAGTCTATGGAAACATACCTCGCTGAAGAAGGCGTTCATGTCGTTGCCGCCCGCGGCACCGCTGTTGTTATTGTTGTGATTGACAGAGACCATCTCGATCCTGGATGGGGAAGCAGGCTGCTGCTGACCACCGTACTGCTGCTGCTGCTGGTACTGGTTCTGCTGGGCGAACTGGTTCGGCTGGTTACCATACTGCTGCTGCTGACCATACTGGTTACCGTACTGCTGTTGCTGGTTGCCGTATTGCTGCTGGTTGCCGTACTGGTTGCCACCGTACTGCTGCTGCTGGCTGTGACAATTGAAGATGAGGTGAGACAAGCGGTGAGTGGTTAGGATGTTTTGTAATAAGCCATAACAGGTATGTCGATTCATTGGAGCTCCTGGACGGTCCAGCTGCTGCAGGTATCCATCTTTATGCACTGTTTGATGAAGTGAAGAGTTGCTGTTCTTACCCGTAGCCCTGGTTCTGGTTGTTGGACTGGGCCTAGAGGAGTAATGCAGTACAGGGACAAGCGTTGGTGTTTAGAGTGATATCAGACTCGGTTACTCCAACAGGGACTCTTTGAATGGCAGAAAAGAGAAAAGCCGAATGCAATAAAGAAAGAAGAAAGACTGTACCTGGAAGTCGGCCAAGCGATCTCTTCCACTCATGTCTTTAGATGACCAAGTCTATTGTTTCTGTTATTGTTGTTGGTATTGTGATTGTTGGAGGTAAGAATGAAGAATGAGGATTAGGATGAGAAGTGAGAGGATGATAGCGTGGTTGTTGAAGGAGAGTGAAGAGAGGAAGGAGAGAAGGAGGCAGCCAGCAGGAGTCAAATCGATTATTTGAAGGGGCTAGAGTGGTGAGTGGTGAGTGAGAGTGAGAGTGGAAGACAGGGTGGATGGACAAGGGTTTGCCGTTGTAACGTGTGGTGGGTCGGTGGTGGAGTGTGTTCGGGTGAAGAGGGTGCAGGAAAGGAGAAGGGGGATGAACAAGTTGTGTGTATGTGTGGAGAAGGCAGTAAGCTGAGTGAGACCCAAGAAAAGCCTCTTTAAAGTCAGTACCTGAAAAAAGGGTGGGTGGGGGGTTGACGAATCAAAGAGCGAAAAAGAGAGGAGGAGAGGGTGGCGGTAGAGAGGAAGAGGGAAGAAGAGAAGAGAGATGAGGAGGATGGCGGGAGGGAATGGAATCGAGGATGAAGAGAAGAAGGGAAAGTGATGAGAAGAAGAGGAGAGAGAGAGAGAGGGAGAGGGAGAGGGAGAGAGAAGAGTAAAAGTGAGTAAAAGCAAGACGGATAAGGCAGAGGAGGAAACGAAATTGCTCTATTTTTTCACTTGTGCCAATCGAACTCATGCATACTTTAAATAAAGAAAGCATACCATTCGGACTCTGTACGACTATTCGGTTGGTCGGGAAGTTGGAGAGGGGCTGGGATATAGACTGGTCTAGTCTTTCTCCAAGTTCGTGTTAGAACCCTGTCAATGGTACAAATAGAAAGGAGGGCAATGATAGGCGCAAATGGTACCTGGAAGGATATATGAGCAATGATCTCAATGATGATGGAAAGGGCATCATGGCATTGCTGCTGCCAGTAAGGGTATAGAATAATGGACCACGCTCGTTGTTTTGATTGCAGGAGTGACCAAGCCCAAGGAGCAATAAATAGAAAGGGCACTGTCGAGTAGGCCGGTTGTGCGTTTTGTTCGTGAATGGAAAGAAAAGTGGACATGGACATGGCCCATACTGCTATCATGCGCATGGCCCATCTCATCCATGTGATATCTAGGATATGAAGAGGCTTGGAGGATCCAAAAAAGAAAAACGTATGTGTGGCGGTAATAAAGACAACATGGATCAAGCAAGATGCGATCAGCGGTGAGGATGCCAGCCTATGATCCCTGGTGATTTTTTTGCTGCTGGTTATGTTTGAAGGGGCGATTTGATGAGAGAGATCAGTCGGCCATCCATCAGCTCTTCTTGTTGCGGACTTTCTGATGTATCCGTGTCTGTGTATTTGGTGGCGCACTTTTCCTTTTTTCCCCTGTTGTCGCGTTTGTGCAAACTACTCGACAAAAAATAGCGACCCACTCGCAAAAGGCGAAAATGCGAAGAAGAAAAACAAGAAAAGCGTCAGCGAAGGCGCAAATTGTCGATCGCTTTCCGTAAGGAGTAACATTGTGCCATGCGGACAAACGTCCTGGGTGAAATTGGGCTGAGCATCATCCACCTTCCTAAATGCCATTCGGATCGCGATAAAAAGGGACTCTGCACTATTTTGATCACATGAACATAAAACAATAGGAGCAACGACATGAAAACAGGTCAGAAGGTTGGTCAAAAATGGTTCTTGACTAATTCCTCAGTCACTCGGTCAATTCTCGGGTTGTTTAGATGAGAAAATAGTAATAGACTGTGAGACCCGAGGAATGGTTCTCCAGGGATCAATTATCCGTGTGAGGTGGAGTAATGAACCAGAGGAGACAAATATACAGACCAATGACGGGCACTGGAGGTGGTTCGAGCAAACGACAGCCTCCGCATGTTGTTGTTGTTGCTGCACGGGGCGGGAGTTGCTTTTCCTCCTTGATCTTTTTTTTTTTTTTTTTTTTTTTTTTTAAAGCTGAGCTTGGAAAGGGAGGCTTTTGTCATCGATGAATATGGATCCATCGAACCATTCATCGCTACCTAATTTCGTTAGTTGTCATCATGGTTTTATGGACCGGTGTGTGTGTGTTGGCGTGTGTTGTCCATCGGTGACAAATCCAGTGAAGAATAAAAAAAAAAAAAAAAAGCGGGAGTATAGGATCCGAGTAAATCGCACTACAGTACATTCCACTTGGAGCCTTGTTCTTCATGTGTGTGTATTGCGTTAAATGCGTGAGTGATGCGAATTGAGAAATATGGAGGGAAAAAAGAGAAGGAGGAAAAGTGGTTTTTGAGCAATGAGAAAAAGAAGAAAAAGGATGCGGAGGGAGTGTGTGAAGGCAGCAATAGAAAACAATAATAATAATAATAACCAGGGGTAGCAGAATAATATACAAAAGGGGCGTGTGGGTGATGGATCGATTGACGTGAGTGGTGGTGGCCAAATGACCAGTGTGCTTTGCTCTTCTCTTCCTTCTCGCCGCCTATTTTTCCCTCAACCTTGATTATCCCTCTCTCTTCTTCACTCCTCTCTTCTTCTTCCCTTTCCTCTTCCCTTCACTCCTTCATCTACTTTATTCACCTCGCAGCATCCTCTTCGCCTATCCACCCTCCTTCATCCTCTTTCGTTCCCTCTCGAGACATCCGTCCTCCCTCGACAACGCATACTCTCTCCCCTTTTGCCACCACACTCCTTCTCGTCCTCACCACCTCCTCTTTATGAACCTTCTCCCTTCGGATCCGTCTCTCTCGTTGTCTCCGTCTTTTTGCCTTTTCCCTCTTCCCTTTTGTCTTTTCACCCTTCCGCTCCTTCGTCTCTCTTCCATCTCACACTTGTCTCTCTCTCACCCTCTTTCTCTCTTTCGCACATCGCATCGCATCGATACATTGCATCCACTACACCCAGTACAATGGTCCAATCCACAGCTGTAGGTTCCTCCTTATCCCGTCCTTACATCCCATCCCATACCATCTCGCCTCTTTCTTTCTATGCCCCCTTGCTTTGATCTTCCTTCCCTTCCCTTCGCTGACAGGACAACGCATGTACATGTCATTATCTACTCCTCCTCCTTCAACAATGGTGTTCCCGTTGTCCCCGGGAACTGGCCTTTGAACTTCAACATAACAACAACTGAACAAGGGTAACGAATAATTCAACTACAACCACAAGACGAGAAGAAGCCCCCATTCCTCATTCCTCATCAACCTCACCCATGCATGAGCAAAAGAGTGATTCAGTTTACTTTCTTTGTTTTCCTTCGTTCCTCCCCTCATTGTTGTAGTGTTTGTTCAAACATGGTCTCACAGCCACGGCTTTTCATATTTCTCCATATTTTCCGCTACTTTTTGTCACTTCTTTTCGTCCCTCCTGTGCACACTTCACATAATTTCAGGCACCGCATTTCCTCTTTGCTCACGCTACCACGCACACACCCCATTCCCTTTCTTTCGCAAGAATACTCACTGACGACAGCAGTCATCTATCTACTATATCGCAACACCTTGTCGCAAAACTACAACACGCAAAACAGAAAACAGAAAGCAATAGAGAAAGAGAGCATTGTTAAAACCAAACAGCACCTTCCCCTCTCCCCTCTCCCATTTCTAATCGCACAACCACTCTTCCCGCCGTTCCCTTCTTACCGCACCCTGGATATCCACTCTACGGCCCAAACAACCTTCGACCAAAACGTTTTCCTTTCATACATAAACAGACGCTAACTACCACAAACCCTTTCCTCCCTTTTCCCTCCTTATTGCCGCTGGACCGCCGTCTTTTTCATTTCAATGGGGCATCTATTGTTGAAAATACAGACCTCGGCCTTGTTCCTCAAGGCCAAGCATGCCTTCTCGCTTCATCGCAAGTCATCGCTCAATTCCCCCTCGTCCTCCCTCTCCTCTCCTTCAGCCTCACCGCCCTCCTCGTCCTCCTCGCCGACCGAGCTGACCTCGTCCCAGCACTTCTCTACTGTTCTCAGTACCCCTCCTTCATCCTCATCATCCTCAACAAGCCAATCGCTTACTGCGACAACCATCTCGACCTCAGATGCAGGAGTCGCTCCACACAAGACCAAATCCAAGGGCAGTAGTCGGTTCAAGGTCAAGACATTTGCCTCCTTCCGAGACCGATCGAGCAGTCCTCCCCTGACATCCTCGTCTACTTCCTCTACTGGCCCCGTGTCTTCTGGATCAACGACGTCTTCCTCTTCGTCCTTGCCCACCCCTTCCTCTTCATCTCCAGGAGCAACAACAACTCCAACGGTAGCGGCAACCACATCCGTAATAGCAACAGCAAGAACACGGATCATCAGAGCTGGATCATCATCGGTATCATCATCGACATTGACTTCAACACCGATCAAGTCACCGACGACAACCCCACCTAGTCAGTCGGCAGCGGTGTTCTCTGTGAATCCGTATTCGTCTTCATGGTCGCCATCGACGGCATCTATTCTGAAATCCCCCTTGAGGACGGGATCGTCGTCAAAGGCCAGTACGAGTCTGGATCTGATGCAGTGTTCGCTTTATTCTCCTGCGCCCAACCTGATCCTGCAGCCTAGCCCGGCGATTGATCTTGCACCGACGTATGTGGCCGGTGCCCGTTCGTCGACCTCGCGGGCGATGCTCCGTCGCGATGGTTCTGACTCCTCGTCCCTCCTCGACTACTATGGCCCTGTCATTGGAACCGAAGGTACTTTTTCAACTTTTCTACTAACTACTATTAGGCGATGTGTTCTTTAAAGAGGGGCACACAGCATCATCGCACATATCTCATGCCTGCGCTTTGTGTACTGTGGGGTAACAATAATAATGGTTCATGTGGACTTCTCAACCTGAAACCGAGCGCGGTGATTTCGTTCGCCCAATCTTTGTGCCCAAAAAAATATTTTTCCTTTCTTGTTCTCTCTTCCTCTTCTTCCTCATTTCCCTTGCTACCACACTCACACATACACACACACACACTGTGCAGCACTGCACTTCCGCATTCATCAGACCGTTTGCTGTCCGCCTTTTGCACACACACACACACACACACTGCTGCTTGCTTCTATTACAACTCGCGACTACACGGAATACACATCCAGCACTCTTCCTCTTCCTCTCCTTCGCCATTCACAGCCAATCAACCAACCAACCAGTCAGCCAGCCAATTAGTCATTCAAGCCCCACATGGACACACACTCACCACGCCCAGTCAACCACACTAGCATCAACACTAGCAATGCAAATGGGTTCAACTCATCAACGACAGCACTCATAACACAGTTCGACAATGCATCGATGGACTCTGTCATATCTACAGACGGGGCCTCTCGACAGCAGCAGCGGATTATTACTTACCCAGCCCCAGAAGAGCGCAAGTTGCTAATCGATCAACACTACAATATCATGCTACGTGGACCCGTCTTCATAGACTTCCTCTCCAAGCTCCCCTATGAGATCGCCATCTATATCCTCCTCTTTGTCGACATGCACAACCTCACCAAGGTCGCCTTGATCTCCAGGACTTGGAACCAATTCTCGCGCGACAACGAGGTCTGGAAGAATGTCTATCTCCATCAGAAGCAATGGAAGGTCAGGATCCCACCCTCACTCCCCCGCAAGGTCATCCCCGACTCGACTGCCGCCGCCGCTGGCGCTCTCTTCGCAGCTACAGCATCCCAGTCTCAAGAGGCATTGGCATCTACGACAGTAGCAGTATCAAAGCAGATCACCTCCAAACCGCTCAACTGGAAGATGCTGTGTCATGACCGTACCCAGCTCGAGAGACGGTGGACAACGGCCCCACCCAATACCAGGCTCACCGGCCATACCGACAGTGTCTACTGCGTGCAGTTTGACCATTACAAGATTGTGACGGGATCAAGGGACCAGACGATCAAGTTTTGGGATCTGCATACACTCAAGTGCACACATACCCTTCAGGGCCACTCGCAGTCAGTCCTCTGTCTCCAGTTCAACGACAAGATCATGGTTTCGGGATCATCGGACAACACGATCATTGTATGGGACATGGAGAACCGGACGATTCTCTCCAGACTGCATGGACACACTGCAGGAGTCCTCGATGTCTGCTTTGATGACCAGTACATCGTCAGCTGCTCCAAGGATACATCAATCAAGGTCTGGGACGTCAAGACGTTTGCGCTAGTCAAAACCATGACGGGACACCGTGGACCGGTGAATGCTGTGCAACTTCACAGGGGTCAGGTTGTCTCGGCGTCGGGTGATGGTATGGTCAAGCTGTGGAACATTGGATCGGGACAATGTGTTCGGGACTTTATTGGTCATGACCGCGGTCTGGCTTGTGTCCAGTTTGATGGTGAGACGATTGTGTCGGGCTCGAACGACAAGTCGATCAAGATCTGGGAGGCGCGTACAGGAAGATGTCTGAGAACATTGACGGGTCATACTGCATTGGTCAGGACATTGCACTTTGAGAACAACCGGATCGTCAGCGGAAGCTATGATCATACCGTTAAGGTCTGGGATATGACGACTGGACAGTGCATCTTGAATCTGGACAGCGGCCATGTCAGCTGGGTCTTTGACGTCCAGTTCTCCTCCAGCCGCATCATCAGGTAATTAGACGGGATATTATTTGTCTATGCAACTGGGTCATATTTATGCATACATGAGTACTTGAAGCCAACTTCGATTTGTTCATTTCTCTCCATGGTTATAGCACTTCGCAAGACAGGAATATCATTGTGTGGGACTTTTCTGGAGACTTGGACGTTCGTCTGTTCGAATAAGTGACCTATTTCATTCTGCCTCCACGCTCTTCCTCGTACGAAGGAGGTGAGGGCTGTTTGGGCGCTTTTCATTCTCGATATACCTTTTTATTCTTTCGTCCGTCTTAGTATATGCTCTCCTTTGGTCATTATTTCGTTCTTTGTGTTGTATTCTCCGTCTTGCGTTTTCCCTTTCTTTTGTTCTCTCCAATCTGTTTCGTTTTCGTTTTCCTTCGTCAATTCTGTATCATAGTCTCGAATAAACCCCATCAGTCTCCAAAACACAAGTCCTAATAGAATAAAAGAAAAACGTGTATTTGTGCGCCATGAAAAAAAAAGAGCGGTTAAAATTAGTCGACATTGGAAAGGAAGGCGTCAATCTCACTAGGTTCCGGAGCGGAGGACGGACGCAATCCTGCTTGTGAATGGATCTTGTGGTTGGTTGAAGAAGCCGCTGTGGAAAGAGACCGTCGTGTGGCCAGTTGCGGCATCTCGCTATAGTAACCCCCCGGGGACTGGCTGTTCCCTGGAGATATTGGCTCCCCCGACGATTTCCTATTTCCGTTTCCTCCTCCTCCCCATCCTCCTCCTCCTCCTCGGAGATGTTCCAGACTCAACGACAGCCCACCTGGCAACTCCTTGTTGCTCTCGGATATTGCTCCACCCTCACCCCCATCCATCCCATCCTCGCCATCATCATCGTTTTCAACAACCTCCTCAGCGCCCACAACCTTCTGTTCCAACACTCCCTTGGTCTCCCAGAACGAGACTTGTTCCCGGATCTTGCCTAGGGCTTTCCGTTCGAGCTGTTCTCGGATCCGGGCTAGTTGTTCTTTCTTGCGTTGTGCATCATCGACGAGTTGGATTTTTCGACGGCGTTGGGAGGCTATGCGGAGGTCATGGAGTTCTTTTTGGACAGCTGTTTGAGGGGTGGTGGTGGAGGGGGAGGAAGGGAAGGGGCTGGAGGGGGAAGAGGGGTTGGAGGAGTCGTAGGAGTCTAGGTTGTCGGATAAGGAGGAATAGTCGAAACTGCTGTCGGTTGTGGGTCCGTGGGTGTATACTGAAGACAAGGGGCGAGTGGTGCTGATGGAGAGTGGAAATGGTTTGTTGGTGGCGTCTTTTTTGTGCGCAGTTACCTCACGGTCCTCCTCCTCACCACCAGAGTCAGACCTCCTCTCCTCCTTCAAGTCTTCGCCTTCCATGGTTTGTGCGCCGCGCTGGATAGACTCCTCGATCTTATGGGCGTACTCCTCAAAGGGCGTCTTGCCATGGAGCCCCACAACGCCGTAGCGTAGCGCAGTCATGATGTGGCTCTTGGCCTCTGTGGCGGCAAGGGAGCTGTCTTCTATTCTGTCGATGGCGGATGAGACGGTGGTTGTTTCCTCGGTCGTGTGGTCGTCTGTCTGTACCGCGTCCCCACCCTTGTCCTTGTCATCTTGTTGCTCTTCTGTTGAGTTTCTGGTCTCGCCCCTGTCATCCTCCTCCTTATCCTCTAAATCAAAATACGACGCGCTCATATCGACAGGCGGAGGACGTTGCATTGCTTCCTCAATATTCTGGACATACTCGTCCGAGGGCGTCAAAGCATGTAATCCAACCCCACCATATCTCAACGTTGACAGACGTCTCTCGGTACTCGTGGGCTCCTCCTCCTCCTCCTCCGCTCTTGCTGCTGTAGTGGTCGATTGAGAATCTACTGCCTCGACGTCTTCCACATCGTGCACCTCATCTACAGGCCCATCAGTATCGTTAGGCCGCTTTAGTGCATCGCCAGTGGGTTCAACAATATTGACGGAAGGCTGTTCAAAAGTGACCCCTTCTACTTTCTCTTCCCTCTTTCTTTCCTCGCCGTCATCATCGCTATCGACAGCTGGCAGGATCGACTCATGTCCCAAGTCCATGGGAGAAGCCTTCTTCTGTATAGGCTCCCCACCCTCCTGCGCGGACTCTTCCACAGATGCTCGGCCGTGGATCCCCACTCCATAAAACGGACGCGTCTTTGACGATTCTGCACCCTCCTCCTCCTCCTCCTCCTCCTCCTCCTCCTTTTCTTTTTTCTCCTCATCTCCTGAAGCAGGCGGTAGCAAAGGTGTCGCAACATCGTCTGTCGTTGGAGTGGACATGACTGCTGGGGACACTGGGGCTGGTGAAGAAGGTGGGGAAGAAGGTGGAGAAGAGTAGTTTGATGGAGAGGGCTGCAGGAACGTTGGTGACGGCGCTGTACCAGGGCTCTTGTTCGCATTTGTGAGGGCTTCTGTAGGTATGACGGAGGCGCCGGGGATGGTAAGGGGAGCGGTGGTGGTGGCGGTGGTGGTGGTGGTTCGTGGAGATACCCTTTGGTGTGGTGAGGTCGAGAGTGGGTGGATGAAATAGTCGAGCGCCTGGTGGAAGGCTTCTTCCTCGCCATCATCACTGCCGGTATCAACGTTGCTGTTGCTCCGCACGGGGGCGTGGATGCCTAGCCCAGTGATGGACGGTCTGCGGATTGATGGCATAAAAGGCACCGCTGTTGCTACTGCTACTGGTTGTGGTGGTGGTGGCGGCTGCGGTGGTTGTGTGATGAAAGGCGAGTATGAAGTAGAAATAGGCTCACTGAGGACAGGTGTACCTAAAGCTTCCGCCAGATCACGCTCCAGTCGCGTCTTTACCCGTTCTCCCAACGGCAGACTATCCATCCCATCATCATCCACATCCTCAGCACGAGGCGTACGAGTTCCTGTGCTCGCATACATGTTACTCCTCCAGTTGCCGCCCGCTGTCAAGTCGAGTCCAAACTCTTCTGCGAGCGAACTTGACAGGACTGATGATGGTGACCAGGCGCCTGACTCGCTGGCTTCATACTCTTCCTCGTACAGATCTTGTTCTTGTCCCTGTCCTGCTTGGTGCTGGTTGGAGGTGTCTAATTGGAGTGGGTGCCGGATCACCGTGTCGTTTTGGTGGGATTTGTCGAATATGATGTATGGTGACCCGCCAGAGGGCGAAGGCGACGCTGCCATCCTCGGAGTTGAACCACCAGAACCATCAGTACGGGGTCGGATCCTGGTCTTGTGTTTGAGCTCCAGTCGTGGCCGGTAGTCTTCATTGGTTTTCCTTTGTGATCCCTCTCGACTAGCATTGGTAGCGTGAGAACTCTGACCATGGCGCAGCATCCCTGTTTCTGGGGACGGTAACTTTGAGGAAGTCGTAGTAGGTGATGATAGAGAGGAAGATGAAGAAGAAGACGCGTCGGACGCGATCTCGTCCGATTGAGCATCCAGCAGCTCGAATCCAGAAACCCCGCTCTCGAACCCCGAATCTTGAACCGGCGTTGCCCCTGCAGTCCTTAACCCCGGCGGAGGCGCTGGCAAGTTCTTGACCGACGCCCTTCCTTCGATTCCTCTTCCTTGTCCTGACAGAGCAGAGTCGGTAGATGATGATGAGGAGGAGGATGCCTCGCGGAGGATCGAGATTGCAAGACAGGTCATGGCTCCTGAACAATGCTTGCACAGTTTCTCCGTCGGTGCCGCTGTTGCTCCTTGTACCGATCTGCCACTCCTGGTACTCTCGTTGGTATTGGTGGCGGTTCGTAGATCGAGGAGGTCAGGACTATGTCTCGTCCGGCGATGATGCGAATGACCTGCCTGTGCGCAGGGACCCCCAAACACCATCTGTCCCAATTTCGCCAACCATCTCGCACCCACCATCGCCGCCGCCGTCGTCGACGGTCTACCATCTCCACCTTTACTGTTATTGCTCCCGTTCCCGTTATCGCTGGCACCACTACTAGAACCGGCGGAGGCTCTACGAGCAGAGGGTTTGGAGGCGCGGGCACAGAAGGTAGCAATGGAGAGGACGGATTCCAAGGAGCGACTGGGTCGCTTTGATCGGTGGTGGAGTAAACTGTTGCCGATGTCAAAGTCCTTTGTTAGGTAGATCGAGCTCGCTGTAATGTTGGTGTTGGCACTTCCTTTGTTGGTGTTATTGCTGCTGCTGCTTGATTTGGCGACGGTGCTTCTGGCTTCCTTCCGGCTGCTCTCTATACTTGATAATCTCTTCAATGCACCACCCGCGCCACTAGTACCACCACCAGCAGCAGAAGCAGCTGCGGTGCGCTTCTTCTCGCCTTCGGTATGTACCTTCTCACACAACACTGGATCCGCCAACTCGACAGAGCTGCGCTTCATCACATAAATGGCTAACCGGACAACCTCTTGGCTGTTCAAGGTATCCATGTCCCGGGGGCCGAGTGCCTTGAACATTGAAGGTGTTGACGAGAACGGGAATTTGGAGTTGCGGATTGAAGAGGGTGGTTGTGGTTGTGGTGATTGTGGGGTGGCATGGTTGGAGGAGGTGGTGGTGGTGGTGGAGGTGAGGAGGGTGGAGTGGAGGATCCGGTGGAAGGATTGTTGGACAGAAATGTTTCTCGGCTCCGCGAGGGTTGCTGGGTCTGTTGGGGTTTTGTTAATGATGGTAATTAGGTGGTAATCGTTCGGTTAGCCAAGAAAACAAAATGAAGTTGTCATGCATCGATCGATGCAAAAAGGGAAGAGATGCAATATAAAAAAAGAAGGGACATGCCTCGTTGGTAGAGTGCTTGTGCACAGACATGGAGGAGATGCTGGGCGATGTCCTCTGGTATCTCTATGAAAAATCGTAAACCACAAACAAAGTTGCTTTGTGTTTAACCTTCGTACTTTTGCTTTGAGTTTAGCACTTGCAGCCAAGCATGGTGGCAGACTTGTGCTGAGGTTGTTTTTATTTTATTTTACCTGACGTACCTCGCTTCTGTCGTTGGGTAATGTATTGGCGTAACCATAGAGGCATAAGGTACTCCATCTTGGACAAAGTGTGAGTGTTTGTGCTGTCGTTCTACTGCTATTGTTTGTTCTTCTTGCTGTTGAGTTGGGTTGTGTCGATGAGTTGCCACTGTCGTCGCCGCTTGTGGAGGTGGTAAAAGAAAAGGAATTGTATTTGCGCGCGTGCGATCGGCGGGAAAGACGGTGAAGAAGAAAAAAAAAACCTCCGGCGGATGAAAGAAGTGGTAAACATCACACGCCACCCCCCGGTGACAAGGAAAGACTCGGTCATTGGGTGTCATCGCAGCAGGAAACGCGAAAAAAAAAACATTGTATTAGAAACCGTGTCTGATAAAAATATCGACGATTTGGATTCATCTTGACTACCCTTTTTCTTTTTTCTTTTTTTCCGCCTCCACTAGTGTGGAAGGGTCCGTGAGTACATAAACAATGAACGACACTGCCCATCCGCGCATGCAATGAACGGCCAAAATATCGAATGACTAACAAATCCCACCCAACACAGTCGCGTTTTTTTTATTGTTTCCTCTCTATTCTACAAACTACAAACAAAACATGGCCACAATTCGCTGGCCCATAATCGCTACACATCCACATCCACATGCATAAGTGTCCAAAAAACAACACTAGCCCTGCTGGTCCTGCATACATGTACCCCACTACTTCTTTCAATTCGACGATACTAACCATCCAAATCTCCAATTGCCTCTGCCTCGCATTCTCGCTCTCATCGCGCTCCCTCTCCCCCCCCCCCCTTTTTTTTCTGGTCTGTCGCCACTCGAAACGGGCCCCCCATTCCCTGTTATCAATGAAAAAGACACACCGCCGAAGGGGATGTAAACAAAGAAGCATAACCACAAACACAACAAACACAAAAAATATGAAAATCGCATGGCAAACTTTAGCCCCCCGTCCGTCCGTCCGTCCATCCGTCCCCATCCAATCCTCTCCCTTCCGTCCCTTCCAATCTCCCATCTCATCCCTTCCCATCCCCCCACCCCATTCTATTTCCCTCATATTCTCCTCTATCCCGCTCTCCACACAAACAAACAAACAAAACAACAGCCTTGTTTGTGCTTGAGACTCAAGAGAAAGTAAAAGAGACGGGGGCAACCAACCATGCATTCGCATCGGGGCGAAAAAGGCAGGGGGGGTGGGTGGGGGGGTTGAAGTGCAAGGCAAAGAAAGAAAAAGAAAAGACGTTCAGCATTGCCATGAGCTATTGTTATGCACAGGCACATACATGCAACCCGTACCTTTTCCGCCGTGTCATGCTGTTTGTTGTGTGGTCAGTTAAAAATGACCTCCGTTCACCTTTCACCTCACTTCGTGCCTTTCATTATCAACTAACAAGAAGGAAAAAAAACCCTCCCCCCTTATGCATGGTGGCCGTTGTTTTTTTTGCATGATAAAAAGTCCATTTTGTTTGCAGTACGACACATTCAGGGATGAAAAGTGTATAAAAACAGGTGGAGGGGAGTCGGGTGTATCCTTGACAATTGCTACAAAAAGGCGACAAGAATTGCTGACCCCTGAGACGTGAAGCATACAGTCGCATAGAAACAGAGCAATTATGCGAAGAATGAAGCGATGAAGAGATCCGGGAGCATGGGAAGTGCGGCTAGGTGAAGTGATTGAAGGAAGAAGCGCATCCAGGGCAGGCGCGCAGACCCCCCATCCCATGGTATAGCGTACTTTTCGATATCAAACATCAAGAATGAAGGCAGGAGTGAGCAAAGAAAGACAAAGAAGGCGAGGAAGGGTTGAGAGGGAGCGTATCGCATGAACGGGGGGTACAGTAGACAGGGGGCATCAAGGAGGCAAACTTCATGGGTGCGATGGAGAGAGTTTTGAAAACCAGCAACATAGAATTGGGATGGGTACTAGCAATGTTTAGAAGTTCTTTTTTGCACAATCGATTGTAAGATAGCGAGAGCTTTTTTTCATTCCTTCGCGCTTCTCTCTTTTTTTTCCACTGCTGTGTGTGTTTGGTGCGATTGACCATTGTAATATTCGAATCCTTGGTAACATGGTAACAATAATGATGGGGGGCTTCCTTGCTTGCTTGTTTGTTTTTCTCTGCTGTTCCAGTTCAAGCCAAAAGAAAAGAGGAATCGATAATCGTTTGAAATGCTGACGAGACATTCGCAGGTCTAGGGGTTGTTTGTAGAGTGTAGACAAAAAAAAGCAAACAAACAAGGCATTGGCACCTGCTTCTTCTTTCTTCGCGCTGTCTTGTTTGAAGTGGTCTACAAGGGATGCAAGGATGGCATGACCCAAGAAAAAAAAAGGGCCAGTCCGGGGTCTGTGTGTCCCGCGTTCGTTTTCTTTGTCTACAAAATCATGGGACCTCTTTTTCTTTCACCACTCCACTACACTCCCATTCCATACACATCTACCCATTCATCCAGCCAAACCAGGTCCGTCTACAAAAACCGTACACGAGCACCGCCATTTTACCCTGGCAAACCTTGTCCACCCAAGAGGTGAACATCTGCTTTGTACGTAAAAAAACAAAGGAAACCCAAACCCAAACACATCTGGCCAAAATGAAATAGACCTGGCCGATTATTATGTCGTACAAGAAACTCAATACAAAACTTCAATTTATTCAATCAAAAAGTCAATAAAGGAAGAAGTTGCCTGTGAGCTGCTCATTCTCTCCTTGTCCTCTGTCATCTTTTTTTTTTTTTTCTGTTACCCCTTGAACGTTTCAGGAGTTTGTTGTTGAACTGTAGACAACCGGTACTCTATTCAATATACCATTTCGTTGAGCAGCAGCACGCAGCGGGAAAGTAGAGTGGAGCATATTTTTTTCATGTTTTTCGAACTCGATCGTCACTGATCCCATTGCTCTTCTTTGCTCTTGGTTGTCTGCTGCGATGCGATGTCTATCCTGGTTTTTTTTTTTTTTTTTTTTTTTTCTTTGGATGGGCTCTCGACTATTTTTTTTTGTTGCTCTTTTCGGAGACTTGAAAGTAAAAGAAAAAAAAAGGGTGGACCGACCCTGTTTTCGATATCACCCCTTTCACTCGTTTCTTGACTCCATTACATCTTCGTTCAATCGCGACAGCTTTGAAAGAAAGAGAGCGATGGAAAGCATAATAGAGGTGAGAGAGTGTGGGTGAAAGGCGAGAAGGGTGGTCAGAAAGAGAAAGAGAGAGAGAGGAGGACCACTCGGAAGCGGGCTGATTCGTCCAGTCTCAGTTTAACCATCCCTTCCTCTTCTCCCCCCTTATTTTTTTTTGGCTTGTGAACAAAACTGATGAACCAATGTGGCGAGGGGGACATCTCGTTCCTATCAGTCTCACTATTTAGCTGATCGTAGAAGAGGAATCCCAAAAAAGGCGCTTCGTCCCTTCCTGATTCGGTGCTGATGATGGCGGGTTGGTGGGTGGATGGTTGATCAAGAAACATCATCAAACATCTCCTTTGCCATCACACGTTGTTCGTGCAGTAGAGGCAGAATGGCGACTGTAGACTATCTCACAAAAGTAACAACATGGCTTGTTGAGCTTGGTTGTTGAAAAAAAATGATATGAACGCCAAAAAAAAAAAAAAAAAAGGTTAGGTCTATTTTACTTTACTTTACTTTACGAATGGTACCGACATAGAAAAAAAAACAAGTGATAAAAGATGAAGGAGACGTTTGCGTTTCTCAAAAGGGTCTTTGTTGGTTTGCTTTGGCCATTCTGCCGTCATGGGGTTTTGCTAGCCGTCGTCAGTCGTTTTGATGGCCGGTCTACCTTTTTACACCGTTGAGAGTTAGAAAGGGGCGGTGAAATAAAACATTTCTCTCGTTCTTCGGAGAAGTGTACAAACAGAGCCATGCGAAAAAAAAACCAGACAAGATAACAAACGCATTTGAACGTTCTGGAAAAGTGAACAGGGTGTTCGGATGGAATATAAAGACAAACACGAAAAAAGGCCGTCGCCGACTAAGAAGGTGGCTAACTACGAAGATGGATGGTGGATGGGTGGATCCCTATGGATAGTCGTAGATTTAGGATCAAATACCACTTCTCTCGTAAAAAAGGGTGGAAAGGTTCAAGATAGGGTCCACTTGCATATCCCTTGTCAATGTACGTCCTTGTCTTTGTTTTTTAGACCCATGAACCACACAGGCCTCTCTCTTGCTTTTTGGCCCGGTTACTTGGTCCAATGGAGTACAATACGTGTACCTACGACTACGGGGAGGGGAGGGGATGTGTGTGGTAGGATGGGTGAGGTATGTACCGTATGCTACCTTACGATGTTATGAAGGAGAGAAAATGAGACCAGGGGAACCTCTTCGCGCAAGATGGTGGGTGCATCAACATCTCCTTTGTGAGGGTGGTGGTCCTCCATGACTACCATCACTGTTACAAAGAGATGACGGTATCCTCCTCCTTCCCTTGATTAATTCCCTAATCTCTCGCGCTGACGGTCTTTCAACCCTTTTTCTTCTCGTTTCTGTTTTATCCTTGCATTCTTGTTACTGCTAATTCCTTGCTTTGACCCTCTCGTTCACTTCGCCTTCTACCTTGTCTTGCCAAATATACTTTTATGTTCATACGTAGGGAGTAACGGCTATCGAAGTAAAAAGAACATATAAACAAGAACGCGCAATGGATAAGGGATGAGGCGTCGAATGGAGAGTTCGTGTTCTTTTGGCGTTTTTGCCCATAAACACACGATCCGTCCACTTTTGTTCTGTGCTGCATCCAGACCTGAACCTTCAACAAACACATAAAAAAAAGCATAAAAAGAAAGGCGAACAGACAAGTAGTGGGATACCAAGAAAGAGTACGTTCTGAGCGACGGTCTCCCTTGTAGGAGGTTTTTTTTGTTGAGACGAGCAGAGAGAGGATGAATGAGGTGCCACAACAACAAACCGGGATGCATTTTTTCGTCTCATGCAAAGACACGGAAGGAGAGAAGAAAAAACATCCACGCACATGACCCCAATGTTTATGTTCTCGCTGCTATTTTCTTGTTTGGACTTTGGATGTCTTGTATAGTCATGCTACACGAACGAAC